AGTTGCCGTAAGGGCAGAGCTCGTTGTTGCAGAGCACCCGCTGGTAGTCGTCCTTCTCCAGATCGATGGGGCGGCCCAAGCTGCAGCCGAGAGGGGTGGCACACTGGCCCTCTGAGGGAGTAAAGTCAGTAAGGGGGAAGAAAAGAGGATGATTACACTGTTATTTATTCACATCACTTACATGTAATATTTACACATATTCACTTTAGGGCAGCAATTAATGATTGCTTTCATTATCGATAAATCTGCCTATTAAACATCAGAAAAAGATAAAAAATGCCCCTCAATATCTCCTTTAATATCAAATAAGGCAAAGAAATACAGAAAGTTCGAAAAATGCGCTAGAACCATAAAATGTTTGATATTTTCTGTTTAGTCTGGGAAATAATCCAAAAAAGGTGGAATCAGTTAATATTTGGCACTTTTATTTGATATGTAATTTGATTTGGAGATGAATGATCACAGAGAATTAATCAGTGATTACTTTAATAATGGAATAATCTTTTAAGTCTTCTTCCAGGCAAAAATGTGCTGTTTTTTTTCTGTCTTAAATGATTGTAAACTGAATATCTTTTCTTTCTGTTACTTTTCATTGGTCATTCATTTACATGCATGGATTCCCCCCCCTTTTTGACATTTTGTAGAAACAAATGTATTAAATGATTGAGAATAGTCTGCTGATTAATCGACAATCAAAATAATTATTAGTGCCGACAATCAATTAACTGTTCAGGTTACTTTTCAACCAAAAAACGGCCATAAAATTGCTGGTTCCTGCTTCTGGTATGTGAGGAATGTGAGCTTTTCTTCTACTAGACTTACAGTTAATATGTTTGGCTCTGCAAAATTGTGATGGACATTTTCCACACTCAATCGATTCATTTAAATATTAATCTTCAAATGAATCAATAATAGCTGCAGCCTAAAATAAAATAATAATCAAAATTGCTGTCAGCTTCACTCACAAAGTCACAAACACTATATCTCTGAACACCAGTGATTTTATAGGACAACGGTGCCATTAAAGCCGTCCCTCCACTGTAAGTTACTGTCAACAACACAACATGAGGTGAAAATGTTAAAAGAGAGATTTCAGTGTCCTCGCTGCCTCCTCGCCATCGATCTATGAAATTCAACTAGGCCATCCAAGCCTGTGAGCAGCTCTATTCAAGCCCTGCCAATTGTCAAGTCTGGATGTGAATCAAGCAAATGTGGGCACACAGTCTCTACAAGAAGTAGCTCATGATAATACACTGTGGGTGTGTGTGTCGAGGGATAGTTTCCTCCTTCCTTTTCCGGTACAGTGTCAGTGCTTTTTCTCTCTCTCACTCTAAAGTCACCACACACTGAAGATAAATATACTTTCTCAATGCATTTGTAGCCCTGTGCTAGTGGCTAAGTGCTACACTGGGTTTATAGTCCAGGAATAAACAATAGCTCCATAAAGATATTTTATACACTTTACGTATTTTACTGTTGTGAAAAGGAAACATACATTTATTTTATATAGGGCTGCAACTGCTGCTGATTATTTTATTGATTAATATTTGGTCAAATAAATGAATAAATAAACATACTTTACTGTTTTGAATAATAAATACGATTAGTGCATCTTTATCTTTCTAAAAACAATGTAGGTACAACATTACATTACATTAACAAATGTTATAACCATGTAATAAAATGACTATATTGACATCTGTAGATCATTTATCAGAATATACTGCACCACTCACATCCTAATAAACCTACATATGATCTGAGAAGCTGATCCCAGAAGCCAGTCCGTTTTAAATCACATCTGTCCCACATTTACAAGGGCAAGAAACCCACCATGGCAACTTTCTTCTATATTGTAAGTCTGTATGGGATGAAGTTGAACTTGAGTGCGCAGACAAGCGGCGAGGTGTCAGTATTACCCTTGAGGAAGGCCACAACCAAAAAAACTGTGTGGACAAGGTGCGCTTCAGGAAAAGAACAGCTGAGGCCTGCATATAGTAGCCCACACACCAAATGTAACAGCCATCGATCAGTAACGTGAATGTAATAACACTGAAATAAGTGTTGCATTGTGTCATTCAGACTCCCTGTGACTACATTTCACAATAAAGAGTACTGTATTCATAAGTGAGAATCCCTTTTTCCTAGGAGAGCATCGAGCCACCAACATCCATTCATAAATACAAGAATTTAAAGATGTTTTGCTTATCAGGCATTATTCACAAGTGCCAAAACAAGACTCAAGACTTGTTAGGAAAATAAAACAACAATTCTCCAGTTCGGCTTACCTCCGACTCACCAAGTAACACCTGTTTCAAATATATTTCAACTTTTTGCCCGCTGTTCCCACAATCTCCTTGTACCCAAACAAACCACAGTGTCCTTTAAAAACAAGCAATGCAATTACACGAAACGAGATATGAGTGGAGCTGAGTACAAACACATGCTGGTTCACATACACACCGACGACCAAATAAAAAAAACACCACTCTAATCATACAAGGCCTCAAGTCGTGATCGACCATCATAGCCTATATTTACCGATAATAACCAAGCAGCCATTAAACTGATACATTCTTAAACCTAAGTTTGGTATGGCGTTGTCTCCAGAGTGGAGAGAAGTGAAAGGAAGGAGGGAGGAGGAGGAAGAGAGAGAGAGGGGGGAGGATAGTGCCATTTGCAACGTCGCAGTGCATGCATGTCACAGTCGCACAGACAAGACAAGAGCTTCCCCTTGCAGGAAGGCAGCATCACCAAACTTCTACATCTGTGTCCGTTTCCTCTCTTACCACTTGAGCGCTCGTTTCTGGGCGCAGCCGCCGCGGCCGCGCCTCCTGTTGCGGCCGCACAGGCTCCATTTTCCTGCTCATCTCCGCTACTGTTGGTGCGTTTGCTTTTCTTTCCCTTGTTGTTCTTCTGGTTGGGCATTTTACAGGATTCGTATTGTCAGTGTTATTTTTCGACCTCTATCAGCGGCTGCTGTCAACGCTGTCTGACATTTCTGTGGACTCCATTTCTGCAGTGTTTTCCTGCAGTGTGTTTTTTTTTTTTTTTTCTTCTTTCTCTCTCTTTGCGCTGTCGGTTGCGGTGTCCTCGTGGACGTTGAGGCAGAGCTTTAGTGCGGCTCTGACAGCAGCAGTTATGAGGAATAAGCTGCTATAACCTTTAAGAGCGAAGGCGTGTCCGTCTCTTGTTTTGATTCCTGCTCCGCTGTTTTCTTCCACCCCCTGACGTCACAGGACCCCGCCCCCCTCCCTCCACCGCCGCCGCGCACTGGCCGTCAACGACGTGCGGTGCGTTCAAGGTCCAGCGGGGGAAAAACGGGCTTTTGTTGTTTTACTACTTTCACACGCTTTTTGGAGATGGTTTAGTGGTTAAAGGGTCCAGTGTGCAGTGTTGGGCGGGTAAGGCGTTACTATTAAGCAACCAAGCACCTCCCACCTCCGCTTATTAAGGCTGTTTAAGTTTAACTTGCTGAGCACAACTCCAACTTAACAATAGTTTTTATATTTTTTATTTTATCTATATCTGTATATTCTTTTATTGTATTTTTATTCTTCTCTACTATTTGCACTACATTCCCCTGTGCTGCTGTGCCGAACTTGAATTTCTCCCACAGTGGATTAATAAAGGAACATCTTATCTTATCTTATCTTAATAAGGTTACATTAATAGTATTACTTTCCCCAGTAACTAGTAGTGTAACTATTTAGTAATACAGTTCAGTAATAATATTACAGTTAATATACAAAAATAAATTAGTTCAACAAGCCATTCACATCCATGGATTGATTTTGGTAATTGAGGAGGAAAATAGCTTGGAAAAAGGAAACGCTTACACTCAGCGTCTGGGCGAGGGGTTACAATCTGCAACTTCACCACTAGTTTCCTCTAAATCTGTCACATTGGACCTTTAAAACTCAAGAATTTAATAATTTTATTTGAAGGAAGAAGCTTTCCAATCCAAAATGTTATAGACTTATTATCAAGAAAACCAGAAGCAATACCACAGTGTAGAAATAATCTATTACAGGTAAAACTCATGGTCAAAAATGAAGTTTCATATGTGCGTTAAATATACTTAAAGCTCTATGCAGAATAATATTTTACCTAATATAATGTAATAGTATTACATAATACACTGAGATGGAGGAAAAAGATATCAGTTTAATAAAAAGGCAGCTGGTTTGACTTACTGCTTCTGTAAACGTATTCCTTTTTGTTGTATGTTTAACTACAGGTAAATGGAAAAGTACATAATAAAACTTAAATTTAACCTGAAGCAGCCGTATCAAATATTCCTACAGTACCTGAATGCAGCAGCAGACTCAGCAGAAGCTGATGAGAAGAAGTTAAGTGTCACATACCTGTGGGGAAGCATCACTTTACAGCACATCATTCATCAGCCTGGGTGGTGATATCCCATAAAAATCCCTGTGAGATAACTGAAGGGTTTTTTTTTCCTGAAGGAGTTTGATGTACCAAACTCCACTTATAAATCTCACCATTTAAAGATTTCTATCTTATCAGGTACTGTTCAAACCTGTTTAAAACATTATTCAAGATGCTGAACAAAACAACAGTAGATGCTTTCCAATTTGGCCTTCATCCCACACACCAAGCAACACTTAAGTAATATTTCAACCTGATGTTACCACAATCTCCCTGCACCAAGACACACAATAATGGCCCTTACAAAATCTGTATAAACTGTGATTCCAAAGCAGCTGAGTGCTAACTACTACTACAAAATTCTACTCCATTCAGAAGTATGTAGAATTTAAATGTTAATCACAATTAACGAAATGTAAAAGACAAATAAAGAAAGCAAGCTCAATGCATTTCCCAATATTTCGCCTTTTCAGTGGTAACAACAATAAACACTAATAACCATAATAATTCCAAAAACAACATTCCAATCAATAATATATCCAATCAAGTGTTACAAAGTTTGTTTTTCGAGATTTAGAGACGTCAAATAAAACACGCAGACAAGCAGGTTCAAGGCTTCAAGTGTAAAGATTTTATTTCTCAGACTGAATCCCACAGTAACAGACACCTCTGTTCCTTTAGGAATGTGTTATTGCCAATACAAAAGACAGTAATGACACACTCGAACACATGATGCAGGCATCCCACTAGTTCACAGAAATGGCTCGAGGTATTGCCAACCTTCTCCTCTTGCTAAATGTTGACTTATATATGCATTTATGTTCAGGAGGAAGTCACTCCAGTGCGACAACAGCAGGATAATCCAAAATGACAGTGATGCAAGCAGCATGTTTCTTCCTCAATCTTCCTCACTCTCCCATCATTTCCACAACTTTTACTCACTTCTACTCAGCCTATTGTTTGTATTCTGATGATTACATGTCACATAACTGATCTTTCCTAGGCTACATTTCAGTTTTATTCATAATTAGAATATGATTAAGCTCTTTCGGTTGTCCTGATATGTCACCAACGCTGTTTAGAGATCACGAAACAAGCGAATGGTCTCCTATGCGGTTTAGGAAAAAATAAAAAATAAAATCCTATAATTCAAGTCAAACAGTCAACACCTGAACCTAAAAGATCTAGCGAGGTTGATACAACAGCAGTGAATGTGAAATGGGTCCTATAAGACTTGCAGATGAGGCGTGGCTCACACACAGTTGATATATAAATCTTGATATTATGCAGATGAGCACAAGAGCTGCCAAGTAGATGTTACATTCAGGCAAAATCTTACTTCTCGCATCCAAATAGCTGCGGCCACTAACCCCACAAAGGAGACCCAAAGTAGACAAAATATGAAATGTAAATGTTAAATCATCCAATAAATGTTTAAAACTCAGCTGCTGATTGTGAAATGTTGATTCTGTCTTTTCACAATAACAGATTATTTCGTTTTTTTTGTTTTATTACTGCAGTTTCTATCTTAAAATGTCTGTTTTATCTCATATATAATATAATTTAATTTCTCACTATGACCAATCAATGCCACGTTTTATCACAAAGTTTTTGTAAATCAAAACAATCAGGGCAGAGCCAGTTATGTGATTGACTGTTGGCTTTGGTCTGAATGGGTGAACAACAAATCAATAGCTGTATCCACCATGCCAAATTATGATAAACAATGGCATTTTAAAACAAAAGGATCACTTAGAAAATGGCATTTTAAAATAAAAACAGTTGGAATTAAATTTAAAAAATGACCTGAAGCCGACTTAATTAATCTGAGTCCAAAACTATATTCAATTATTTCACAATTTCCTGTTTTACTACTTATTTTGTCCGTATTTGTTCATATGATTATTTATTTAAAGTCTGATTTAATTATTTAATTTCGACCACTTTGGGCCTCCATACAGGCCAGAAGTCCTTGTCAGTGATATCTGAGCAAAAATGAACTCAGAAACAGACAAAACAAAAACACCCACAAATGAGTTTTCATGGTGGTAAACGAAGCAAAATGGTCACACCTGATCTGCAAGTATCATCTGACCTACAGTACAGAGCAAAGAGTGGTAAAATAAAAACATTTAACTAATAAAACTATAAATGCACATCTTGTGTCACAAGTAAGACACCTAATTTAAGCAACAGGACAATTATTAAACATATTTTGGTTGTATCGATTTGGTCCTGAGGAACATAACAAATTCATCTTTTGCATTTGGCACCAATCACCCTGTAATTATACACTAATAAAAATTGCACGAGAAATACATTCGCCATTTGCTCATCAGCTATTTTCTTACGAAAAGGCAAGTTTGGGAGTTTGTTTAGCAGAGAAAATTCATTCGTAGACCACTTATAAAAAGATGGAATAAAAACTACTCTAGCAGATTGCAATGAGTACAAAAAGGTGCAAAAGTCATTCTTTCAATGCACTTGTATTTGTAGTTTCTATGAAGGAATTGTTCTTAGATTTCCAAAAGCACTGGTCTGATAATGTCTTTTTACAAAGTCCACAAGAGGTAGTATAAATGGCTCATGTAAACAGTAAATGGAACTGCCATTTGGTGACACTGTTGGTGGAAACACACTACCCGTTGTCTTCAAGCTACACTAGATTAAAATACTCAAACACATTTTAAACTCCCATTGAATTTACCTAGTGCAGCTTTAAACAAGTATCCATTATAAACTTTGTCAGAGTGCTCCAATTAAAAATGTGAAGACAAAATTTGTCAGAGTTGATAAATTCGAGCCAGTATCTTGTTCTGTGTCCTTTATCCCGACACTGATACCATCAGGAGAGGCATTTGGTTGTGATAGTAACCCCATACTGTACGTTTTTTCCAGAAAACAAAACAAAAAAAAACCCCGAATGAATGCTTTACGCAAATTATTGCATTCCTGATTTGTGCGTTTATAGTCTTAAAAGTGTATCAAAAATGACATGTCAGACCCGTGGTTGATAAAACAGCAGCGCCTGAGAAAGACAAAACTTTCTCTTGTTATCTGAAACTATGAATGTGTGTTGTGTTCTCAAATGCCTTTTTTTAATGATTCTGTTTGACGTGGTGAAATCAAATGAAATCCTATGCAGACATGCCGGGTCTGGTAAGTGTACTGTTTGATCTAATCTGTTTGGTCAGTGTGTTTGAATTCAAATACCGAGCCTTGTACATGAATGAAGAGAACTGAAAACAGAAGCTCAGTGACAAGCCGGTACACTGCAGAAGCTCAGTATTTTTTGGAAGGACTCAGTATGACCCACAGTCGCTAGAGGCCCATCTGGTCCGAACTCTGGCCTCATTCTTGGAGCAGGACAATTTCGACGTTATCGTGGACGCCCTGTAGAAGCAACTCGCCCTGGAAGGTGACCACCTTTTTCCTTTTGGCTGCCCTCAGGGTGCCCACCAACGCCTCAAAGATGTTGGCACAACGGTCGTCATCAAACAAGACCCCAAACTTCACACTGGTTTGACCGTCAGCATCTGAAATAAGAGAGTTGAGCAGATTGAAAGTTATTTACCAAACAGGATGGTTTATAATTTCAATATGAATTATAGATGCCTGCTGTTTTCTGACCGTTTATGCTAATAATTATAAAACAATATTGACAATTCAAACTGCTTGTTTTGTCTGAGCAGCTGTCCAGAGCCCAACGATTAATTCACAGTGACATAACACTGAGAGAAGTAGCACATCCTGACATTTTAGAGGCTGAAACCAGGACGTTTGAACATTTTACCTTAAAATTAAACAAATGAGTATAAAACTCTTGCCAATAATTTTATTTAAAATCGACTTATCGTCTCAGCACTAGGTGGTCATTATGCCACCGATTTGTTGGCACATTATTATGTTCACCAAGTGAGTGATATCATACATATCTGAAATTCACAAAAAAGGACCATGAACGCAACATTAGCACCAACTATAGAAGCATGAAAAAAGACTCAGCAATGTACCAACTGTGTGAGAAACTGAAAGACACAGGCACACATAGGAGTTATTTTAAGAGAAAATAGCTATTAAGAGTGTAAAGGCTCGAGCATGAATCACTAAGAAGTTGGTGTGTGCGTTTGTTTGTGTGGTGTGTGTGTGTGTGTGTGTGTGTGTGTGTGTGTATATATATATATAACACACACACACACACACACACACACATATAACACACACATATATACATACATACATACACACACACACACACACACTTTTGAGGGCTTGCGTGTACCATTTCTACTGTGGTATATTCCCTCACATAGAGAGACTCCATTTCTGTACAGTCCACATATTAAATAATTGAGACTGACTCTTGAGAATAGGTCTTTGTAGACTGACACAATCTCGAGGCAGTGTGACCTGCTAGTTTATTTATGGTTATGAGTGGTGAGCTAGAACTACTGATCAACATCACATGATTGCATGTTTCTGGTTCATTAGAAATGATGGCATGAACAGGCTTAAGTGAAAATACATCATACTCATATACTGAATCAAAGCCTGGACTCACTTTTACTGCCGAGTCGCTTAATCTCCTCCACCAGCAAGCTTACTTCATGAGTGACATTCATTGTTACTGAAAGGGAAAACAAAATCAAAAGAGACAAACATATTAACACAAATATACTTATATACAAATATACTTGTACGTTTTTTTTTTTTTTTTTAAAGCATCAAGTACACTGTGTGGGATGGGTGGGGTTATCCTTGATACAACCCACTCTTCTGCAAGCTGAGACTACCAAGCCAAACTCCTTTCAAAATAGTGTCAATTTTTATTCATGTTCTGTTGCTTCTAGGAAAAAGTAAATGGCTTCTAAAAATATGTATATTTATATATTTAATAAATGTTCACTCAATTCGGCATATGCTTAATCTTCCTAATAGTTCATTTAAATTCATTTTTTAACTTTCATGACCGATATCATGGGCACCTTGCACCAACGATGATACTGTTCAGTAATTATAACAAGCATTGATTTAATTGAAATTAAAGTACTGATTTGTGATTAACTACAAGCCGAATTTTCAACAAGAGGGTAGTAATGCAGAAATGATCTTGACTTTTATTCTTCTCCGTGATTATATTGCCTCATCACCAAGGCAATTACAATTTTGCAAGATTAGTAAACGGAGTTTGGGACTGAGATTTTCTCTCACCTGCAAAAAAAAAAAAAAAAAAAAAAAAAACGCGAGTGTTGTGGCCATTTAATTAATACAAAAACAAATTTCATCCATCAGATAAACAAATACACTAGCACAAACAATACACAGAGTGTGAGCACTGACTGCAGCATTCAGATCAACCTAACGAGCTACAACACGAGCAGGGCGGACCGTGTCATCAATGCGGAAACGGGTGGTTAGCCTTCCAAGCTAGCCGTAAAGCACAAATCCTTCTTGTAATTCTCTGTGTTTCAGTGGAGAGTATTCATTTATCGGTGGGGATTAATGTCGACAGATTTGGTACACATAACTTCAGCTACAAAAAGAAAGCAGCACAATGAGCTGCAGACAGGAGCTCGCCGGTAACGTTGAGCTCCTGGCGTTGAAAAAAGAGCTGCTGAGGGTCGGACACGGATGTAATGTGTGGTGGCTGAACGAGTTCATAAAAGTCAACGCAAACCCAGTTTAAATGGAACAGTAACACTTATAGATTTACCTTTTTTATTCTTATTCTTCTTGACTGTAATTAGATGATGGACGACTTACTGTTGCATCGGCTGCCGTGGATAATGGTGCTGCGTTCAAAGTCTGCTCGGAAATTGTGATGGGTCGGTCGCAAACGATCCGGCTTTAAGGTTTTGGGGGGGGGCGGTCTTTGTTTGTCTGCCTCGACAAACAAGTTACCTTCTTCTGGGCCAAGTCAGAGTCGGTTACAGAAGTTTTAAATTTGCAAAGGGCCCATCAACTTGTAGATTATTTTTTATATATTGCCTAAATAAGAGTAATTAATTAAAGTTCAACATTTTGAGAGACATGTGTGATGTTTGGGTGGAACTCACTGATATCTAAAACACTCTTGCCCGAAGAAAGATGTAAGAACTACTCTGAATTGATGGCTACTGGGGGCTCATAATCACAGTATTTTGTTTTTAAACATGTAAAATGAATAATTTTTTATGCATTTCGCTGCTACAGGGCTCCATAGCAAAAAATAATTTGCAAGGATCCTGTCTCTTAATTTCCCTCCCCATTTCTGTGCAATGTAAAAGGTTGTTACATGGAATACTATGTACATATACACTAACCTGTGATAACCTGAAACTCAAATTACATAAGGAATAAAAAAGCACAACATCGGATGTGTATTTGTCAGTCTCTTGTATTTTGACACAAACAGATAAAGGCCACATTAACCCACTAGAGAGCCTGAGAGCTATATATAATATATATAGGCTATAAGGATCTTCTGCTAAAATGCCAACTCTAAGGTCTCTAAATTTCTTCTGAAACTTATTTTTTTGGTATTTTATTATTTTATTTTAATGGATAGTGACAGCTGAAGACAGACAGGAAGACAGGAAAGGGGGGTAGAGAGAGGGGATGACACGCAGCAAAGGGCCGCAGGTCGGATTCAAACCCTGGGCCTATTTTAAATTACTTTCATGGTTTATTTCAGAAACGCTCCAATTTCCTATAACACCTGAAGGCACCATAGTTGCTCATCTGACTTCATTGTGACACAATGCGATACTTTCACGGTTTCTGCCCCTTATATGGCGTGAAGGAGCGATGTCCATGCTTGCGTTTGGAATCTGCCTCCACAAACAAATGACCTGTGCCAACTCACAGTCGGTTAAACAGCTTTTAAATGTGCAAACAGCCCATCAACTTGTAAAAAAAAAAACAGGAGGTTTTGTTGTTAAGACTTCAGGGCAGTGTCCAGAAAATATTCCAGTAAAACAGAGACATCACACAGAAAGTTTCCATCCATGACATTCATGATTTAACATTCTCACCAGCCTTGCTCTAGACTCACCCCCATTGGCTCATATCTTTACACATAACAAGGTGCTAAATGCATCAGCACAATATTCAGAAAGCTGTGTCCTCCTTTGCTGTGTTACCAACTGAGCAAAGTAATATACAGCAGGGGTTCAAAGAGCTCCAGGTTTAGTCTTTGTCAACTGGTTTGTGCCCCAGTTTGTTTAAAATGTCCTGCTATAGACGACCTGATCTTAAGGTCCTGTCTCAAGGAGCATTCCTGTGTCAAAATGTAGTTTTTAAGACCTGCTTTAATCCAGTTTAATTCAGGTGCATATTCCTAAATTAAAGTGGCCAAACAGAAAATCTGAGCCAGGTAGTATTTTAAGAAAGAAAACTGGACATATTGCTCAGAGGGGTGAGGAACATCTTGAATTTCTCTCGGGATAAATAAAGTATCTATCTGTCTATCTATCTATCTATCTATCTATCTATCTATCTATCTATCTATCTATCTATCTATCTATCTATCTATCTATCTATCTATCTATGGATACCTGTAGTTTTAAGATAAGAATTTGTGGAAATTATGGGCTTGTTTTTATAAGCCCATATGAAACTATGACATGATACAGAATTATTATTATTATTTATTAACATATTATTCAGAACTTAAAGACAACAGTGACCCAGTAATAAATAACGTAAGTCATCTCCCCTTGTTTATTGTCTGTATTCTCACTACAGCGAATTGTCCCGTGTCTTCATAATGGTAACACTGAGCTTTTATTTTGAAATCACTCATCCGGGTCCCTGCAGGCCAAGCAAGCTCGCGCTGACTCGGACCGTAGCTCAGTGACGTCGCGACACGTCAAGCTAGACATAAGAAACATGAAGACGAGACCGGAAGTGTATCGAGTTTCTCTTCAGAACAAAAGCGTAACTTTGTGGGTTTTTTTTTTTTTTAAGGAGCATAATATTTATTTATTTATATACGCCAGAATATTTCCTGTTAGTAGAGTGTTTACTCACGGGCCACTTCATTAATGTATTTAAAATCTAATGAGGCAGTTGAATTACATTTATCTTCATTTATCTTTATATATTGCCTAAATAAGAGTAAGTAGTTCAACATTTTGACGGATGTGTGATGTTTGGACACACTGATATCTAAAACACTCTTACCTGAATAAAGAAGATGTAAGAACTACTCTGAAATACAATGCTGGCTCATAATCACAATATTTTGTTTTTTAAAAAGCATTATTTTTATAAATTTCGCTGCTACGGGGCCCCAGAGCAAAAATATTTTGCAAGGCTCCTGCACTCTTAATTTCTCTCCCCATTTCTGTGCAATGCAAACAGAATACTATCTGGCCCCTGAATTAACCTGAAACTCAACTAAATAAGGAATATGAAATGTATTTGTCAGTCTCTTGTATATTGAGACAGACAGATATTCAGATCGTGACCTTGAGCTTTAATTTAATGTCACTACAGTCATGTCCACATGGGCCAGATTAACCCACTAGAGAGCCCTGGGGGAGGGGGGGGATGACAAGTGGGGACCCACCAACCCTCTACCTGTGGTTATTGGATTTAACACAAATTTATGAAGGAACATGTGGATTCAAACACACGACCCCTCGACACGACAGGTAAAAGTACACCACCCAGATGCATCTTCTGATTAATGATGGTGGGGCATTTGAGGCCTCAAAGTGTAGGGACCCATGAAATACAGCCTCCACTTCCCTTAATGGAGGAAGATATGAATACCCGTGAAAACATTCTGATAGTTTCGGGGTGAGGAGGGGTAAAATTGCCACTCTATGTAGTTGAAGCGCACTTGGCCGATAGGTGTTTTAATTTGAAGGAACTTACCGGAAGTCGCGCTTCTAACCCTGAGTGACTTGACACTGGCGGTAGGAATGGCGGCTAAGATTACTAACGCTAGAGGAAGGAGCCCAAAGACCATGAAACTTTACTTCTAGCGGCCCCGCAGAGGAATTTGTCTCTACCGAAACGCAGTCACAGCATCCCACAACGGATTAAAGGGAGAAGAAGTGCTATTACGTGAGATTTTCGCGTTAGAAGTCCAGGCTGAGGAGGTGGACGCACTTTGCGACTCGCTAGTTAACGTTAGCTCAACGTTAGCTCAACGTTAGCTCAACGTTAGCTCAACGTTAGAGCCCACTGACTCTGACTCAAGGTAGCGGTTAGCTTACTAGCCAGCTGTTGGCTACTTCGGCTTGGCTGGCCCAACAAGTTAACTCAAGTGATTAACTGCAATGAAAGCGGTCCTCGTTTGAATTAGTTTGAATGGTGATCAGCTGTCTTTGTCGACAGATAGTGTTAGGGTGTTTTTTTTTGTTTGTTTTTGTTTACAGAGAGCGGGATCGGACGACAACAAGTCGACACGGCGCGGTGTGAACATTATTACCGCTAACCTCATCGGTAGCTCGCTAGCTAGCTGAGTTGGGATCCTGAAGTCTCGCCCATTTTTTGGATCCTGCCCCAGCCATTGGCTCAGGGCTAATCTACAGCCCACTAGTCTGGTTTTCAGGTCCGATTGGTGCTACAATGGAAAGCCTAACGCTGACTGATATCGAGCAGAAATATTACTCGGATTTGTTCGTTTACTGCGACACGGACAACACCAAGAAAGTGGCGTCCAATGGGAGAGTTCTTGACCTTTTCCGGGCGGCCCAGCTACCCAGCGAAGTTGTCCTGCAGGTAAGCTAGCGTTAGCCAGTGCCAGCTTGTGTGTGTGTGTGGGTTTTTTTTGAAAGTGTTATCACCAGACTGTGGGAGCTGGCCCACGAAACGTCGCGCCGTCAGTGGGTATTTTACACACTCGTCCGGCTGTCAGTGCTGACCTGTCGTCCACTAACGCTATGGTTAGCCTTGGTGGTTAGCAAAGCTGCGCAGCAAAAGAGACACACCTTCTTCTGGCTAATGTTAGCCTTAGCCAAAAAGAGAGTGGGCAGCCAGGTCACATACTTAGCTGAAGATTTGGGCTCAGATTAACATCTCATGCGTGTGACACACTCGTGTGTGTCTGCTCTCCAAGTGTCTTTTTTTGTTGTTGTTGTTTTTGTTTTTGTGGACATGTGTCCGAACAGCGCCTGATAACGTTGTAGCAAATGATGTCCCCATCAGTCCTCTGCCTTTAGATCCCTGCCCACTGTTTCCTGTCTCCTCACTCCATTACAGTCTGTTATTGTTCTGCACTGGGTTGAGCTGACGTGGTGGAAATACAGACCCAGTGTAAGACCCAGTGTCCCAGTGTCCACCTGTCAGTGTGATTTCTATAGTTGTAGTTGTCACCAAACCAAAACTGCCTCAAAACACACGACTGAGGTAGGGACACTGGTATCCAGCTTTTACACAGACCTTGTAAATATGTATTAACCCACAGATACATCTGTCAGATTATAGTAATTATGTTATGGTCACATTGATCCCATCCCGACTGTCCCCGTCTGTTGACTGTGTGTTACGTGTAGCCACTGTAACTGCTGCAGCCCGTTGTAGTGACTCCAGCGGTCTCTCAGCAGGCCAATATTTGCAGTTTGTGAGTCAGAATCCTTTTCAAGGTCAACAAGGGGAGCTGTGTGGTGGAAGAATTAGGCAGTGTTGTAATCCCCTACTATCAAAACGCACACCATGGGACACATACAGCTACAGTGTTGTGTTGTAACAGGCGGAGGAGAAGTGACTGGTGCTTTGTATCTACACATACTCAAAATAAAGTCCTTTGTCAGCCAGAAAGGGATCAGTCAGCTGTGGCGGGCTGTCGGTGTTGTGGCTCTCTCTCAGTGCTGAAAGACTCACACTTGGTGGAGCCAACCTAATGTTGTGAAGTTTAACTCCTCGGGTGTTAAATGTCCACAGGTTTTTCTGCTGTCCGCGTATTAAACACGTCACAGCGCCGCTCATTGTACGCTCTCACCCTGAATTGCAGTATCTCCCGTGATTCTGTGCACATTTTAAACATTTTGTGGTTTTCTGTTGTGCTACCCAATCTGACATTTTGGGCAAAGCCTGCTGAGCATGACGTCAAGTACAACAAAATATGTGATAATCAGGCTTAGTATCCGTGAGGCCCCACTGAACATCTGCCAATGAACAGAGTTTGTTGCTTGTGCCACTTTTGTGACTTAAAGCAGATAAACTGCATTAAGTCAGTAATCAAGTGTTTACAGCATTGCTTGTGTCCACCTCTTGTTAAAGCAAGAGTGTTTTACTCTTCCATGTTAAATTGTGTTTGTTTTGTTGTGAATTATCCGAGGAAAGACTTCTCTTTTTCTCTCAGTAATGGTTATTATCAGAGTTTTTTACGTACAATGTTGTTAACTGTTCCTCCTTGTTCCTGTGTGTGGGTTCAGATCACAGAGCTATGTGGAGCCACTCGGCTGGGTCACTTCGGGCGGAGCCAGTTCTACATCGCTCTGAAGCTCATTGCCATTGCCCAGTCCGGTCTGCCCCTAAGGGTGGAGAGCCTCAACTCGGGTGAGTCCACCGTTCAGATGCCCCCCTCACTCTCTCACTCACTGAAGAAAGATTCCCACACAGTCAGTAAGATTTTAAAAAGCATACCAGGCTCTCGAACAGTGGACGTTTCTGTTAAACTCAAGGCCCTTTTCTGTATCCAGGGTGATCAAAGTCTTTTTTATTTTAGAAGTCATAGCTTAATGAATTGGAGGAGGTCAGGGGACAAGAAGCAAGGGTTAGTATAGAAGACTTTTAGTTTAAAATGCGGAAGAATGGAGCCTGTGTTACCTAACTGTGCAAATGATGGGCTTAACATTAAAAAAAATACTTGAAATGCTTTTGCATTCTGTGTGTCCGATGCTTAAAGTGTGCAGTCGGTGGACACATCGTAAGTCATTGAAAATACATAATCACAGTTCATCAGTTGGTAGAGAGAGTCGGCCATTAATCGTAGAGTTGGCAGTTCGATCCCCGCCTCCTTCTGTCCACACGTCACATGATTGTCCTTGAGCAGGACACTGAACCACAACTCGCTCATTGTGTGTGTGTGTGTGTGTGTGTGTGTGTGTGTGTGTGAGAGAGAAAGATACTGGTCCCTTTGGACAAAAATGTAATGTTATCAGAAAAGATTAGATACATGTTATTCCTGCCATTATGCTTATGACAATAAGAGCTGTTGCTACTGGCTTTCTATTTATCTTGACTAAAATAGAGTTTGTAGTCGAAGGTCCTGAGGGTTTAACTTCAAAATTGCATTTTTCTGTTTGTCTTTGGTGTGACTACTCTTAAAAGAAAAAACAGAAGGGAAGATGTCTCAGTTAACCACTGCATGAAGTTACTTGCTTGGCCTGAAATATTGCAACATTAAGTTGCTGAAATGATTTCATAATTAGATTTAAAAAAAACAAAACAAAACACAAGGAAGCACAGAGGTTACTTCCTCATAGCAAAATGGACATGCTGTACAAAGTGATGCTTATTTTATTTGGGGATGTTTGAACCTTTCTCTCTCAAAGATAAAGTCGTGTCAGAAGTAGATACAGTGAGTTCATAATGTCCGTTAACTCTGTGCTATCAGAAAGCCTCACATCGGTCGGTGCTGAGAGAGAATAGAAAGTTGTTTCCTAAACCATTTCAGGAGCTAAAGCTTTTTTAATGTAAATCTGCCAACTACACTCCCACTTAATTTTTTCTTATTATGACAATCCAGTACGACACGCACCTCATTTGTTTCCGTTCTCTTCTCAGTGAGCTTTTAATCAGTGTGGTAAAGAGATAAGACTGTCAGGGAACAGCTCTCGTTGATGCACATTGTGTTTTCTGAGTTCACGTTGTTGATTGATATCCTTGTGGTTGTATGACCAATTAATATCTTCTTTTTAATATTTGCGCATCAATAATTTCAGTATGTTTTATATGCTTAACGGCTTACGTTTCTGTTGTATGTGTGTTTGTTTTATTGTTGTATTTTTGCTTCTATTGTTAATTTTGTGTAAAGATTTTGTGGCATTGGTTTTGAGAAGTTCTATAAAAACTAGAGTAAACTAAAGTTTTTTTAGTGCTGCAGCGTTGGAAGTTAAAAGCAGTAAAAAAAAAAAACAATGTTTGACAGAAAAAGTAAAACATTTAGTTGGAAATCCTGTGGCAAACTAATAGTATGTACTTCTTTCAATTTTCACTGTTTTGTTGTGACATTCAACATCATACAAATCCACTGTAGAGGAAACAAACACGCCATTTACTCCAGCAACAGTATCTTCAGCAGAACAGCAGTCATGTTTACTTCAAGTTCCTGCTCCTTCTCTCTGCATTATGGGAAATGTAGGGAGTCAGTGAAGCACAAGCACACGAGGCAGAATAAGGGAAAGTGGCTACACCAAAAAAAAGTAAACTTGTGAGCAAAAAAAAAAAAAACCTCATGAAATCCACTTAACAGCACAGATCACATCTGACCATTTTGGGGGAGTGATTTCGGTCTTCAAGCTTAGTGCATAAAAGCACCGGAAAATCAATATGAAACAAATCTGTCCTCTAATCCTGTGAATGGATTCCTGTCTCACCAGTCAAAGACCTGCCACTGCCCAGGTTCGTGGTGGGGAAGAATGAGGCAGAGGCGAGGCACGCGGCACTGTACCAGGACACAGACAGTCAGGGGTTGTACCCAGCCTCTGCCACTGCAGTAATACCCAGGCCACCGGGCAGGGGTCTCCAGAACAAGAAAGGTCCCCCATCATCAACCGCACTTCCTGTCCACGAGGTCATCCAGCCCCTGGCACCCAGTATAGAGCCACAGGTTAGTGAATTACACTTTTTAATGTTTTATATCAACATGTTTCTTTGCATTTTTTCTTATAACTAACCATCCTTTGTTATAAAAAATACTTAACAGGTGAAGGTACCAGTTCAGACTTGTTGAGGTCTAAAGACAAACATGCTGCATTTTCCCACAATTAGTCCTACCATTATCTATCTTTTGGGGAACATCATACACACGTTTTATTTCCTCCTGCAGTCGGACCCAGCAGTTACGAGAGATATGCTCCTGGAATACTGATGTGTTTCCTGTGTTTTTTCCTGTGCATGTTTGAGTACTTCAAGCTCAAATTACTCTCTGTAGTTATCTGCCGCTGAGCTTTCCTCACTGAAACCAGCAGCACGTTGCCCGTCGGTTACGAGGAGCTCTTCCTCGGCTCATATCTGTTTGCATCAATCTGTTGTGAAATGTTCATTCGCTGGTTGCTTGAACATGCCATATCTGCGATGAGCAGATAAAAAGCTTTGAAGTATTGTTTATTGGCCCGTACTTGTGGCATGTTTTGAGATGGAAATCTCAGTGTTTCAGATGGGATCTCAACGTTAACACCCATAACACGTGAAACCGTAATATGCCTGGTGATTCACTGTCATTAAATCTGCAGTTGTTTTCATGCTTACTGAACGTCGATTGTATTTATATGTGTTGCCAGCCCGAACCAACGTCCCCGGTGGTCTCCCCTCACCAGTCTCCCCCCACCTCCCCTCACTCGTGGAGGAAACACAAGCGGCAGCACAGCGGAGGAAACGCAGACAGACAGCCGGTTGTGGCTGCAACCGGAGCTGTGTGGACGCAGTTCAGAGAACCACAAGCAGGTAACATCCACTGACTCACTGCTGCTCAATAGTAGTTTCTTAATAACGCTAATGCCAATGGTTACACGGTATTGATTTAGTATAGTGGAGCTGCAGTGATTAGTTGATAAATGGATTGGGTGTTCATTCAATCGTTTGGAGACATTTCCTAAGTAGAAATGCCAAATTTTTCTGGTGTCAGTTTCTCCAGTGGCTCAGATTTCTCAGTTTTATACCGCTGCAAACAGATTATTTATGGGTTTTGGACTGTTGGTCAGACAAAACAAGACATCTGGACATTTTTCACTATTTAGTTAATCGAGAAAATAATCAGCAGATTCAATGTTATGTAAAAACAATAGTTTCAGCCCTAAGTCAATAGAAAGAGGCCACGAGGGGAATCAGATACCTTATTTTGGAAGCTATAGCAAAGAAGCGTCAGGGTTTCACTCTTTGTGGTGATGATAACAACAACCATCATAGATGTGACGCACTCGGCAGAAAAAACTGAAACTAGACTTTTGCCCGAAAGAGTCAGCGAGGGGCATGTTGTTGTGTTTTTGTTACTTCCTGGTGTTTGCAGCCTGTACATAGATGATGTTTGCTGAGAATGGCAGTTAAGGCTGTTAGTCATTACAGGAACAAAGAAGACGTCACATGATCTGTGCTGTGCTTTCATCAGCACAAAATGTGGTGGAAATATTACAAAAAAGAAAAGACGTGAAGCTGCAACGATTAATTTAGTCGATTGGATTTCAGCTTCTCAAACGTCACGATTTACTACTTTCTTTGTCGTATGTTATGGTAAAATTCCAATGTTGGACTAGTTGCAGCCCTTATCCTTTCCTAATAACACTTGCAGTATGTTTATTTGTGCGTCATGGGATGTCATTGTGTGCGTTACTCTCCTCCTCCTTCCAGGTCCAGTGCCAGGTGAGGGAATGTGGCCGTCCCACTCGCCTCCCCCTCCAGGTCAGGAAAGTTGGGTCAGTTTCACAGCAGACACCCCGCCATCCAGCGCACTCCCAGCAATGCATCCCTCGTCAGTCCAGGTAGGGCCGTGTCATGCTTCTGTCAGCGTGTCAGTACTAAAGCTGGTCAGACTGATTTCCCCTGATAAATTACAGTTACGTTTTGTGCAACTCACTTGTTGATGCAGCAACGTAGCTTTAAACCCTTCAGCAAATCCTTTTTTTAAAAAATCTTTCTAGCCCTTTTAAGCATCTGTCTTTCCCTAATCCACATACATAGACTTTAACTACAGTCTAATAACACCATAAGCTAATCACACAGCTGAAATAGGGGCGAGACAAAGAGATAACAAAAGTAAGCTTACATATTGTTGAGGCATATATATATATACACCCTCAGGACACACAAGTGACCTACAGGAGATAATGAGAATGACTAAGCACAATATTGTGACAGGCTGTGTGAATAATGGTGGTAAACATCATCCATCCTTTTAATCTGATGAAAAGGCACCATTGGACATTGCAAACATTAAACATGAGATATACAAACCACAGTGGTGCCTCAAACGTGTCACAAAGGAAAAAACTGCAAAGGCCTCAAGACCCAGTGCCTAATTTTAGACAGGCATCACGCTGAGTTTTACTTTCTTTTACAATCTTATTCAGTTTGTCAAATTGTGTTTGAGATCTGATGATGCTTCTGTTCCACTAGAGCAAAGTCCTAGAATAATGTGACCTTTTTATATAAATGCCACACTTTGAATTTGTAACAAGCGTAGACAATCCATTCAAAGCTGTGGCTAGAAGGACTCATACAGTACATATAGCCCCTGATGAAACTTCCCTTACACAGTTAGGTTTATTCTAACCTGCTCTACTTAATTATCTACATAATTGTATGTATTTCTGTTAACCAGTGCTACTTTTTCCTGAATCTGTAAACGTCCCATGTGGTTTCCCATAGGAAAGCACAACGATACGAACTGTGGCCTCAGCAGCAACAACCAATGAGATCCAGCGACAGTCCAGCGGCTACGATGATCCATGGAAGATCACGGATGAGCAGAGACAGTATTATATTAACCAGTTCAAAACCATCCAGCCAGACCTCACCGGCTTCATACCTGGTAGGGAAATGCAGACACGCACACACACGCAAAACAATACTTTAAAAAGTGTATTGTTTTAATCTTCTGTGCTCTGTTTTTGTGTTTCAGGTTCAGCCGCGAAAGAGTTCTTCACCAAATCAAAACTACCGATTTTAGAGTTGTCACATATTTGGTGAGTCGTCACATTTCTGCCAATGTGGGCGTTTGAACCACCAGTGCAACTCATACTTTTTGACCATCATTTTTTTTTTTGCATGGTAGGTTAGGACAGGTTGACAGGAAACATTTTCATGCATTGGGCAGTAATGAATCAATCAATAATTTTAATTATTCTTAATTATATAGTCATGTAGTGTTACTGATCTAGTCTGTGTTCTTTCTTATCAAGTGGCACTTATTTTGATATTGTGATAAGAAGTTGAGAAAATCAGCATTTCTTTATTGATGAAAAGCAAAAAAATTTGGCTTTTACTTACAATAGAAATAGCTTTAAATGATTAATTGGAAAAACTGGATTGGAACCCCACTCTACCAACTTGTCATTGTTTTAAAGGGCAATAAAATGTTAGTTACTGCACATCAAAATCCATTTGGGAACTGCTGTTACAAGTCTTACAGGTTCCTTTAATCGTTGGAGCGAGCCTTAATTCTGGTTGTCACAACTTGTTTTGAGCAGGACTCGTCTCTACTAGTATCACTAACTGTGTGAACTTCACTGTATTTATCACTAAATGTTGTATTCAGCTCTTGATAACTGGGTCTTTGTGTGTAAATGAGCCATCTGCTACATACTGATGCCCATCCGTGTACCTGCAGCACCATCTCAACTAGCAACAGCAGACACCTTTTTTTAAGATGTGGGTGACGATAAAGTCAGATTGAAAGGAAGCTGATCCGTTTGAAAAAGCTCTGCGCTGTCATTGTGACGCGTTTTGGCAGGACGACAAACTCACTAATGTCTAACTGTGTGTGTTTGAAGGGAACTGTCAGACTTTGATAAAGACGGAGCGCTGACCCTGGATGAGTTCTGCGCCGCCTTCCACCTGGTCGTGGCCAGGAAGAATGGCTACGACCTGCCCGAGAAACTGCCCGAGAGCCTGATGCCAAAGCTGATTGACCTGGATGACTCAGCAGGTACACAACCCCTCTCTCTCTCTCTCTCTCTCTCTCTCTCTCTCTCTCTCTCTCTCTCTCTCCTTTGCTTTGCTTTGGATATTATGGTATTTTAACACAGTACATTAGGCAGAACTATTAGACGTTTCATGTTACATGCAAATAATTTTAGCCATGGATTGCCAAGTTTAGAGTGCATGTTCTTTCTGAGTTTCTGTTGTTCATTTTAATATTATATCCTCTGAAGAGCAGATTGTACTTTTTGCACTTTGTTGTATTCATGAACTGCTTCCAGAAAGTTTTTTTTTTTCTTTCTGTGCCTATTATTATTTGCCTATCTACCCCTGGTGTTTAACTGTAGTGCAAACCCTATGCAGAGCAAAGTCAAGCAGTGTGTGTAAACAATCCATGTAATCTAAATGTGTAAATGCTTATATTTCTGAGACAGAAACAACACTGGCCACCTTAAGCTACTGGTCATACCAGACCAATTTAAGCTTTCACTGTAAAACTACGGGGTCACTTAAACTGAGCAAGAATGTGTTTTATTGTATAATTTCAAATTTTATATTTAATTTCTTCTTTTAAAAGTTACATAGTCTCATTTTAAAAACCTGTACCAGATGTTTGGTCAGTTATATTGTTTCCCCCATAACTAAAACCATAAAACAATATTTTATGCAAATTTTTGAAGAAAGACTCCTACAGACAAATGGAAATTAGATTTTTCTGATTATTTATTGTATTTTGACCCCTGATATTTGTGTGTTTGGTTGTTGCTAAGGAACCTGGCTAACCTGTGTCTAATCTTTCGTATTCAGAGGTCTCGGAGTCGACTGCTGACGTTGGATACTCGGGCTCCCCGGTCGAGGTCACCCCTAACAAATCTCCCTCCATGCCTTCACTCAACCAGGCCTGGCCAGAGATGAACCAGAGCAACGAGGTTCCAACATGCACACAACACACATGATTACTCATTGTATTTTCACACCCACTGTAAGCTCCACGTTTGTTTGCTTTTGCTGTGTTTTGCATTTGTTTCATCATAATTAATTGCTCAGGGTTAATTAGATGACCTTCCTTTTTTTTTCTCTTTATCATCATCATGATTTGATTTGCATTTCATCCTTTTTCATTATCCAACATAATTACTGATAATTCAGCACCTCTTCTCTCACTTCCTGGACTGTGGTGGTATCCTGCTGTTCTGTATGAAAGTCAGCGATGTCTGTTTTTGTTTCCACGCCCGCCGATGATGTCGCATCAGCACGTCGTCCGCCGATGACTGATGATGTCGCATCTCGGTAGAGGCTCGGGCTGATGATGTAAATGTGTGATGTCACTGCACTGGCTGACTGACATGTTTTTTCTCACTGTCTGTCTGTCTCCTGCAGCAGTGGGAGACGTTTAGCGAGCGCTCCTCCAGCTCACAAACTCTGACCCAATTTGACTCTAACATTGCACCAGCTGACCCTGTAAGTCAATCACTTAGTATGCATGGTTTCACCATTAATGGACAGACATTAACCCTCTTTGAATCTCTCTGCCTTCTCTCTGTCTCTCTCTCTCTCTCTCTCTCTCTCTCTCTCTCTCTCTCTCTCTCTCTCTCTCTGTGTCTCTCTCTCTCTCTCTCTCTCTCTCTCTCTCTCTCTCTCTCTCTCTCTCTCTCTCTCTCTCTCTCTCTTCATGTCTCCAGCTCTGTGCATGATGTTCTTTCAAAGTGCAGTCTGCTGCATCAGCAGTGGTCAGTGTGTGTTGTGATTTGGCTGGCTTAGCTTCTATTGGACATCACCTTTTTTCTACAGTGACATCCACCAATCACTAGTGCATTTGCAGATTGTGACAGATACAATTTTCCATATATGGTCAATGCTGTAAGTACTTAAAAAACAAATGTGTGGTGCTTTCTCATTTACTGTTGAACTGTCGTTTGTGAATTCCTTTTTTGTCCCTCAGGCAGAATATCTTTTCCTCACAGGAATAATTGGCTCATGAATTGCTCTGCAAAATTAACCTGGCGAAAAGTGCAGTATTGACTACCACAAATTGCCTTATTGCAGGAGTGTGCATCTTTTTTAGATTGTTTTTAGCTGCTCTGAGATTCTGGGCAGAAATCCCAGCAGAACCTGAAAAATGTTCTTTTTTTCCCTCTCCATTTGGAATGGCAAATCAATGAGCTGCTTTTAATGAAATATCACAGGTACATATAGAATTAGGCAGGGATGGAAGACATATTCAGGTCCTTATTACTAAAGTAGAAGTAGCTGTACTGCATTACAAATAAAAGTCTTGAAAATGTGAATAAAAGTACATATTATTAGCATAATATACTTATTTACAGTATCAAAAATGAGAGATTTCATAATGCAGAACAATGACTCCTGTGAGTGTTATATATTTCATCATTGGATTATCATCACTCATGCATTAGTATGAGTAAGCATTTTACTGTTGTGGTTGGTCGAAGCGGACATAATTTAAACTATTCTATGCACTGGGTTGGGTAGTTCTACTAAAGCTGTCAAATAGTTGAAGTGGAGAACAAGTACAATCTTCTTTATTGTAGTGAATAAAAGTATAAATAGGTCTTGCTGTTAAAAGACTTGTGTATCACAGCGCCGTTCCAATTAGAATATTCAGAAAAAGTACTTTCAGACATATTTGTTGGTATTATAAATGTCTTCTTTTGAAGTAATCCCGGTTGAGAATTGAAAAAATGGAAAAACACATCAGAAAACTTTTGAATAAACTTGTAACCCAACGTGCGGCTGAAGCAACCATGAAGCCGAGTCTTCACTTGGTTTACATTTGATACACAAAGCAGAACTGTCATGTATCAAACCAAGTGTTGATGCAGTGTTGTGGTCTACGATCGTATCTCCTTCTGTGAAAATTGCCTCTCTCCCTTCATAAATCGGTCTGTCTCACCTCCTGTTCCTGTATCTATCCTTCAGGACACGGCCATCGTCCACCCAGTCCCCATCCGGATGACGCCCAGTAAGATCCACATGCAGGAGATGGAGCTGAAGAGAACTGGCAGCGGTGAGACAACCTCAGCTTTTCCTTTGCTTATTGACTGTTTTTATGGATAGCACTGTGAGCTTTAAATCACTTATGAATGTGAGTTAAAGCTAATATGAAAAAAAAAAAAAAAAGCACTGTGAGGCGTACCAGCACATTTTGGAAATGTATAAAAATCTGATTTGAGTGGCAAGAGCATGTTTAATGGGCCAGAACTTTGTGTCCCTTGCTGAGTTTGTGATGTGGGAGAAGTAATGAGAGGCTGCCATTTGTTATGAGTAAACAGAAACAAATGTGGTTAAACATAATCAGTCTGGATTTTTTTTAAATTTATAAACATGCAGTGGAAATGTTTTGTGGTCAGGCTCCTGAAGCTGCTACTGAAGATTTTTTTTGACAACCCTGTATAGCTGACTGCAGTAGACTCGACACTTTTATCGTCTCTGTTTCTCCAACCTTTAGACCACAACCATCCTACCAGTCCGCTGCTGGCTAAACCTCCCGAACTGTCTGAAGAAGCCAAATTGCCCACCTCCATGAAGTTTGTAGCCGCCAACACTGTAGGTGAGTAAAGGATCGCCTGCTGCGTCAAGGAGTCCACGCTTACAGGAGTACTCAACCGATTTAGCATCACACTCCTAAAACATCGTCTGACTCACGATGGACAGTTTAAAAAAAACGTTTAAACTCAGTATAGCAGAGCCAGAAATATCGTCTTCTTCTTCCTTGTCAAAACCTGGTGCCTATTTTACCCACAATGCAAGTCAGCCCGCTAACAGTTTTGTCTGAGGTTCGTGTGTGTTATGCATCTCCTTCTGAAGCCACAAATGGCTTTATACAACTTTAACATATGCAGCAGTATTCAGACTTTGATGCGTGAAATCTGGAGCTCCCTTTTAAATAAGGCTTTGTTGTATAATGTATAAGACCATATACAATAGACATATATTACATTTTTGGGATTATTGGTGAGTAGGTTGATCTAATGTTTATGGGCTTTTTTCCTGCCATGAAGGTGATGGTTACAGCAGTTCAGACTCCTTCACCTCAGACCAGGAGCCGATCACAAGACAAAGGTTGGTGGCTATATTTTGTTTTTTAATGTTTGTGTTGTTTTCTTTTGTCGGACATGCACTGTGGACATGTTTTTACCAGGCAATCACTACATGTTATATTTTATCCACTTTCTCACTCACTGTTGCATCACTAGTATCAGTTGGTGTCCCAGAGTGGTTTGGTGACCATTTACAGATATGAGGGGGACATCTGGGGACATCTGTTTATCTGTATCTTTGACCTTCTTTCTTCCTCTGCTCTGATAATTTACCACTATCCATAACTCATAGAAATATAAATGTTTGTGTTCAGGTCTCAGTCGGGTACGTCTCCAGAGGCCCTGAAGGTGGTAGCCCCCCCTCCACCTCCGCCCCGCCCCCACCCCTCTCATTCTCGCTCCTCATCTCTCGACATGAACCGCACCTTCGCTGCCACATCTGCACCCGGACAACCACAACCCTCTACTATAGCTTTCCCGCCTGCTGTGCCTCCTCGACCGCTGCCCACACAGGTAAGACAGATGAGGTCTAACTGCATCACACCATCACAAATCTTGCATCAAGTGTGATCTTGATCATGAATGAAGGCCTTCACTCCTCTCTTCCCTCTCCTACCTTCTCTCTAGACATCAGTGCCACTCACCGGGCATCGTGGAGAGGCCGAGGTCGCACCCGGTGGCGGAGCGGTGCTCACCACCACCTCCCCCCAACAGATTCCTCAGCAGCCCAATTTTGCTGACTTCAGTCAGTTTCAGGCCTTCGCTGCATCTGAACAGCCTTCCAGCCTGCCAGAGGTCGATATACACAGTGAGCCTGGACAGGTAGGTTGTTACCTGGAGTGTGTCTCGATTTCTAAGTAGTTGTTCATGATAAACAATGTATAACAAATATAACAAATCATTTCCACAAACTCGCTTTTTAGAATTTATTTTTAGTATCACATTTTAAATGTTGTTTTCGTTGCGGTCACAATCTGTTGTGCACTGGACCAAATATTTACTCAGATAAGTGTGTAATTACGTTTCAATTATGTTTCCTCTCACTAGAGCCATAATTCTGTAGTTGATACCCAGTTTGACCTGCATGTTTTTGAGCATGGATATTGTGTGTCTACAGGCGGAGAAGTCGTCAGAGGGAGCCGGCCCTTTAAGAACAGTCAAGAGTGATGGCCAAGCAGATGAGAGATCTTCAGCGACTGTCAACTCTGTAAGTCAACATCTTCTATAAACTGAATACATAATCAAATACGTCAAACAATTCAGGACCCAACTGAACACGGTCTGAAAAATGAATGGAAGGTGCATTTCATGTCTTGTCTTGTCATTGGTAATTCATGACTGTGAATACATTTTGAAAATATTAATATTTTTATTAATCTTATAGAAGCTCCTGATCACATAAAGATTGTTTTGCCTGTAAATGATATAAAAAGTTTAAAATGCTGATCAGTTTCCCAAAACCCAATGTGTCGAACGGCTTGTTTTGTCCAACTAATTGTCCAAAATCCATCAAGATTAAATATAGTATTTATAGTATAGTAGTATATTTATCAAAAAAAGATTCTGATTTGAAAGAGAGACTAATCGATTCATCAACTTATCGTTTCGGCTCTAAATACATTTGCTAATTATTAACTTTTAACTTTAACGACATAAAGACAGGTGAGACCTCCTTTGATTTTTTTATTTTTTTTTATTGCCTCTGAAATTATTTTGGATTTCCCATCAGGCCAAGGGTTCGTCCGGTCCGCTCGCTCCTCCGCCAAAACCTGTGCGCCGAAGGTTGAAGTCCGAAGATGAGCTTCGACCGGAGGACGAGCAACACGGTCCGCAGAAATCAAACGTCATAGCTGCCGTCCTGGCCACTCAGCCCTCCATCCCCAGGTAGGAGACACGGTTGTTTGGCTAATAAGACTTTTACAACCAATTAATAATTTATTTCGTTATTTCGGTATGGATCACGTTTTAGTGAAAAGTGTGTATTTGTGTGTTTTCAGGTCAGTAGGAAAAGACAAAAAGGCGATTCAAGCTTCAATCAGAAGAAACAAGGAGACGAACACAGTGTTGGCACGACTCAACAGTGAACTGCAGCAGCAGCTGAAGGTATTTAGGATGTGCACGTAAATGCATCACATTTCTGCATTAAAATGTAAAAAAAAAAACTAGACCATGTTATATATTTTGTTGAGTTGTGCACTTACAGGTGAAACAACATATCATGCATTTAAATGTTCTCATTCCTTAAAAAAAAAAAAGAAAAAGTCACTCATAACTTTCGTCATTTTCCAGGACCTGCTTGAAGAGAGGATATCCCTGGAAGTCCAGCTGGAGCAGCTCAGACCTTTCTCCCACCTTTAACCAACGTGAAGAGGAAACCTCAACTGTAGTTCATCTGAAGCAACGCTCGCTGTGACTCCCCCTCCATCGCTCCCTCCCTCCTTCCTCCCACCATCTTGGCTTTCCCTGGAGGCTCCGACCTGCTTCAGGGTGCTCCGTTAAAACTCTTACGCTCAATCACACACACTTACTGTTCATAAACCGGAAGGACCTGAGAGCGCAGTCTTACCAAGAGGAGGAGGCAACAGGAGTGTGGTGGGGGAACTGGCACTTTTCAATTTTTCTCTAAAGAGAGGTGAACGTGAGGACGACGGCAGACTGAGAAACGGTTCGGAGTGGCAAACAAAGCACTCCCACTGCGAGTGTGGTCTGAAGACAAACTGCTGGTGTCCGATACTCTCTGAATGACTGAAGGAGAAAGGCGGAGTGTGTTTGTTGTGTGTTTGACTGTATTTTTGCTCCTGTTTAGTGACTTTCTTGAGGCTAGCACCAATATGTTTATTTTCTCTTGGGGTACAGACTCAAGCCACACCAAATTTCTATTTAAAATCAGGCAACTTTTAAGTAAATTTAAACAGTTCAGTATTTGGGGGAAATATACGCTTCTTCGCTCTCTTTAAGCGTAAGATGGGAAGATCTATATCAATCTCGTGTGTGTTTATTGCAGAGATGGAGTCTGACTCTAGCTTAGCTTAGCATAAAGACTGGAAGCAGAGAGCCTGGCTCTGTCCAAAGTTCAAAACTACACCTACCTGCTCCTCTAAAATTCACAAATTAACGTGTTGTCTCTGGTTTGTTTAATCCTTACAAAAACAGAAAATAAAAACAACTATTTGTGGTTTTAGTGGGAGTTGTTTTTCCCAAAATGTCGAACTATTCCTTTAATTGTGTCACTTATTGGCACATCTCCTTTTATACTGCTGTGAATACCTACTTAGAATTGGACAGCAATTGTGGAAAATGGGACACTAAAAGCATTTCTGCTTTATATGTCATCAAAGACGGTCCGTCTACTGAACATTTTACCTTTAGTGTGTCCCCATTTTCACAACATTTTGATGAAATTCGGTCACAGAGATATTACAGGCTTTGAAAATACGAGAACATCTACACCAGGAATCTACATCTGCCAGTAAACGAGGAACGTAAAAAGTGCCATTTTTTTTGACTGGAGTCTGGTGTGGTTGGTCTGTCCATAAAACATATACTGGCCTACTTCTGGACAGGACGTTGTATGTGTGTTTGTGTGAGGCCTTTAATGGCTAAATCATCATGGTGAAGGCTTTTTTTTTTTTTTTTTACTCAGCCAACCTCCCTCTTCTTACTGCCCCTTGAAGTCTATGTGTGTGTGTGTGTGTGTGTGTGTTTGTGTGTGTGCGTGTGTGGTTGATGGCATGCTGCAGTGAATGAATGAATGTGCTTTGTCTCCCCCCCTCATGTTACAGTGTTTGGAGATTGATGTGACTGAATGGTTTAACTTTATGCCAAATGACTGAACTGTCACTCTGCCCTCTCACCTCTACTTGGGCTGTGTTTTAAAAAAAAAAAGAAAATGCAACCTTGATTCCTTTCTCACAGGTTTCTCTTGATTTTTTCCAAACATAGCTGTGCATCAACATTTCAGCTTTCTTTTAAACCTCTTATCCTTGGTTGCTGCAGTTATTTACAGTCTTTAACTTCACCTGGATGCGAAATGTTGAGTCAAAACAGACATTCACTTGAAGGGTTTGAAGATATTCCAGCTGCTTGACTGCAGGAGGCGGCATTCATGAAGAAGTGTGTTGCTGATCAGGGAGAGAAGTGTTCCTGTGATTTTCCGGTCAGCAAACACACGTGCACATCCGATCTGACGGTGCAGATAAGAGTTAATATTGATTAAGAATTCAGCTGTTTTCCAATCGGGCAGTCGGCACTATGCAAGTACGGGCGATACATCTTCACAGACCAACTATGCTTAGCTGTTTGTACTATGATAGTAGCAACTGTGTGAGCAGTTTTTTGTATCTTAGATCTTCCAATACACCATCTACTGTATGTTTGTGATTCATTTTGCCTTTTTCTTTTTGGTACTGACGAGCAGTCCGCTCCCCCCCCCGCTCCCGACTGCAGAGGGAGTAAACTCCAGATCAGTGTTTTATTAGGGCACTTCCACCCTAAATCTGCAAGATACGACCCTTGGTGGTTGTAGATGAAGCTTAACAGGACTACAGACGGAGACCAGTCAACAGAACGGGAGACCTGAATGACCCAACTGCACTTTGAACTTAAACCCACCCCTATCCCACCTCCTTATTTCTTTTGTATTTTTTATTTGTTACGTCCCTCTTTGCTTTCTTTTAACCTGCATGATGTTGTATTTAAAAAAAAAAAAAAGAAAGAAGTTGCTTTAAGAAGAAAAATAATGAACCACTCGAGTTTTATTTTTTTCCGTACAACCTGGAAACTGTAAGGTTTTTGTGCCAGTACCCTAAAATATCCTGTCTTGTTTGTTTGTTTGTTTTTAATTTTTTTATAAATGTTTTGTCCCTGGAGCTTCCTGTGTGTTTGCGAAGAATCTTCTTCTTAAGCCTTACTCCCCAACTGGCGTTCAGGTTTCCATGGTGGCTGACTGACCTCTCCTCCTTGTTGTATCACGGCTCGCCTTCTTTTTTCTGCTGTTGAGGATGATGATGTACTTGGTGTGTGTGTGTGTGTGTGCGCGTGGGTGGGTGGGTGGGTGGGTGTGTGCGTGTGTAAGTGTGTTATATTGTTTCCAGACCTGGAACTAATACCATTTAAAACCCTATTAAAAACCTTCATGTGGGATTGATTTATGTTTGCTAGCACAATAGCTCCCCTCCAACCCTAAACCCAAAAGGCAATCCAGGCAGGCAGAAGCAATTAGTCGTTAACATTAAAGTCTTTGATGGGATTTTGAATGCTATTTGCTCCCAGATCTGCGTTGTATATTGTATATGATACACACTTTTGGACTCATATGTAAATTTGCATTAATTGCTGACTAACAGCGAAAGAATATTCTATTTAATTCCTTCTCTCTTGGCTGTGGGATCCTAGATGTTTAACTGCATGGATGTACTGTATCTCTGCAGAGTCAACTAGCAGCTGTGTGATTTTTACACAAAAATAAAAATGGCACAATATTTTAAACACTGCTCTCTTTACTGACTTCTTTATTGTTTGTTAAAGACCCTGAAAATATGCTCTTGGTTCTGGTCCTGCATGAGCACACAACGCTCTCCATACAACAGTTTCGGATCTTTAAAGGCAGTAACCAAGAACTCTCATGTTTTTGTTGACTCTGGCGACCCCTGTGGACAAAAGCAGTAGTGTTTCCACCACCTCGTTTCATTGATTTCGACGGGTATTCAATTGAATCAGCAAAGATGGAAGACATGTTTTATGAGTTGCAAGCATTATTTACAAAACTAAAGAATGAAAAATGTAGAAGTCAGAAATGTAATGGTAAAGGAAAGAGAGGGGATCTCCAGTGGTGAGTTTTATGATGAACCACGCAGGGTGCATCAGGCTGATGACTCCTGATGTCCTGACCAGGATCCTGTAAAACAAAAGAAAAACCAGGAGCCAAAAAGAGAAGACCTAGTGAAGGGATCGTCACAGCAGCTTTACTGTGACATGATGAAGAACACCGACACCAGACGGGGAGATTGGGGCCATGTTCTCCAGTTGGTCGAATAGATCTTGTGCCTTCTTTGCAGCAACATTACTGTTTGGAGCATTGTTGTCTACTGTCCCGTCATCAGGATTAGCTCTACAGGCCAGTTTTAAAAAATCCATAAAAGGGCGTCTACTCCTCCTGCCTCTTTAAAAAGTTCAGAATCTGTTCATATGTACATTTTTCTCATTTCTGTAGTTTTCCTGCTGGACACAAGATGTCTCCTACTTCACTGTGAAGTCTATTCTTGTGCACCGATGGCTTTAATGGGAAAACCTCCTACTAGTGTCAAAACTCTGCACATACATCATTCTGCACAGTGAACTGTAGGAGCAAGAAGAACAAAAACATACTGTCAGTGGAAGGGGACTTTACAGGCTCAAAACCATCTTTTCAGTGCTGGCAAATGGTCAGCAACAGTGCAACACTGTTGAGTTTCCAGTTCAGTTTTGTTTGTCTTTTCTGGTGATGATTAATGACATGTATACTTTAAGTGTTTGTTTGAGTGAAATATATTTTCAGTGGCAATTAATGTTGAAAAATAAGAAAACTCTAATATATTTATGATGAGACTGTAATGAGGGATTAAATCATAGGATCTAGCTAAGACTGTAAACAAAAACCAAACCAGATCAGGGAAGAATTTAGTATCACAGTGACAAGATAGCAGCAGCTGCAGGTTGTTGGATTAAAACTAGTTAATTTATTGTTCATCAAGTCCAGTTAGGTTCTAACGATATCTCAAGGAAAATAAAAGCAGACAGGAAACAACAGGATGCACTTGAGCTCAGTTTAAAGTGACATAACAAATGGTTTCACTTTTTTAATTAAAAACAATTGTAAAGATTTTTACAAGCATTTTTTCGCTTTTATCATCTTTGTGTATAGACTGATGACTTAAAAAGTAAATGAAGTCCACTTTTAATCACATCTATATCACACAATAAAGTATGCAGAATATTCAGGGGATTTGAATATTTAAGTCAATCCAAAATGTGTCTCAGAAGCTTTGTGCTCACTTGTTTCTGCACTGAAGCCATTTAAGGCACTAACTTACTGTAAATACTTGTAATACTTCACAAGAACTTTGATACATAGCTTTAATCTTGGCATTGAAATGTGCTTAAAGTTGAGAACTTGCACTTTCATAAATGTAGTCCCTGGTGACCATTTGCTGCATAAATTCAGAAAATTGTCAACAGAAAAAGACAAAGACAGTGAATGGATTTGAGCAGGTTTTATTAGATCTTTATGTATTGCTCCATGGCTAGGCTGTTGTACAGAGGGTGTCAAAAAAATCCTGAACATAATCAACTCCTATAGTATTTTAACTTTCCAAACTTTAATCACTCCAATCAGTGCAACCAACTGCAGCAAATCAACCACTTCAACCAACTCAGATGAAAGCGATCAGAGATCTGTAGAAGGGTACTTCAGGTCATTAAAGCCACTGAAACAGCCTGAATAAACTTCATCAAAACTTTAGTTTCCTACAAATCTCTGCAACAAATAAAAGCTTTGTTTTATTGAACTGTTATGGAAGAAACATTTGTTTAATCGTTGTGTGTGTTAGGACCACTGAATGCAGATAATAAACCATATCAGAGTAAATTACATCAAGTTTGGCTTAAGCATATTTTGCAAAGCCCAGCTCACATATAGTATTAAGACCTGGAGGTGCTACAGACACGAGTAGGCCTGTTATCTACATCTACTGAATATCTTCTCTTACAGCAGGAAAAAGAGCTCTAATGTTACAATATAAATCTCTGAGGTTAAACTGTCGTTTGCAAAAGCAGGAATTAATTTAGATTTACAACAGAATCAGAGGGTTGGCTTCAGGGGTGTTTCCAGGTGTGTTTATCGTCTGGGTTTCAGGTGCGGTTCAATGAATCCAGAACATTCTCTAGTCAGCAGGTTGGGACGCAACTCCAACAGGGACTTTATTTCACCATACTGGAAAAACAAAGAGAAGGAGATCAGAGATTGTCAGTGATTCTTTTATATGTATGGAGTTCATTTTCACTCCATACGATCCATCTGCTGTGTCCCCCACATGTTAAATTCAAGGAAAGGACTTCAGGATTTTAAGATCTAAAATTCAAATCATACAAAGTTGCTTAAATACAAGTAGCACAGGGGAGAACTGCGTGTAAAAATCCTGCATTTAGAATGTAATCGAGTAGTAAACAACAGAAACCTCGAAAGAACTTAAGTGCAGTACAGCAAATCTGCTCAGTTACTTTTTACCACTGCCATTAACATTATCTAGAAATTTAAAAATTCTAGCAGAAATAAAAATAAATTGTAGGATAAGGGGAAGTTTAAAGGACATACATAAACAAAAAAAACAAAAACAAAATAATAATATACCAAATATACCAATTTCAATCACTCAGGCTTTACAAATCCTTTAAACCTACTACAAAGAGTTATTAATTCGTTACGAAACAGTCTAAATTCAAAACCGATACCCCTATATGACCTATACATAAACGAACGCCAGAAGATTTCTATATAGTTATTTCTATTTAGGTAGTTCCCAGGTTAATATAGACTGGATATGGGGAAACAGCTGGCCTGCATCTGTCAAATGGTAACAGTTGATGGGAGCAGCTACCACCAGAGATTCTGAAAGCTTAAACAAACAATAAAATAATGTGACTTTAGAGGTGCTAGTAGGTTGATTTTGTTAGCTTTGGCCAGCCAAGCAATCTCGTTCCCCCTGTTTCCAGTCTTTATGCGTAGCTAAGCTAAAACGGCTGCTGGCTGTAGCTTCATATTTATGGGACAGACACGAGAGTGGTATCAATGTTCTCATCTAACTCTCAGCAAGAAAGCGAATATCCCCAAAACTATTTCTTTAAATTTTGGTTCTGCTCCTCTTGCTTGTAGTTTGACACTCACACACTGATTTCTTTGTAGCGGTCCAGTGCCTCCTGGGCCACCACCTCAGAGAATTTAGGGTCGGTCCAGGGGATGTCACCCGGCACAGTGAGGTTCATCGGTGGAGAGTCGAAGAGCTGCACAGACACATTGGTTTCTTCAGGCTGCTTCTCCTCTCCAGCTGACTTCTCTTCAGTGTCCCTGCAGATCACCTACAGTACGGAGGGGGTTTCATCTTAACATTTCAGCAAACAGCCTAAACATATCTCCTTTTTCACACACTGTAGGTAATACTAGTGTATTCTGTGCATATGCAGATGTAGTGGGCAGACTGTGGCTTAATGGCTCAAATTTTAGTAATTTTGATTGTTTCACTGCAGTTCAATTATTTCTTAAATTAAAATCCAACTTGCAAGGTAGTTGTTTGTCCAATTAAAAGTAAGGTTTAAGGTTTAAGGGATTAAAGGAATTGCAGAAAACAGACACATCACAAAAAGACACTTAAATAAATTTAAAAAAACACTTTTAACAAAATATAATACAAGAAAACCTTGAATTTGAAAGTTCATCAAGAGATGCACAGATTTCATGTTCTCATGTTTTTCACGATGCAGACCTTCCGTCTTCATCCATCTTCTGTACCAGCTTGTTATAAATTCACATTTTTTAATTTAGGGAAAAAATCCCAACTGACAAGTCACTTCATATTGACATATTGCTTTTGGCTACAGATTACACCCTTATTACTTTTATACCTCATTCACTCTTTTCCTACATGTACAATATGTTTCTCATTACATCTCCTAACCAACATAGACAGATGGAAAAATAAACAGCACAACAGTGACTGAGTTTAACAGATTACTTACAGCAGCACAGCGAGCAGGTCTACATACCGTCTGAACCTGGAAGATGTTGTCATTGGCATTGGTTTGGTTTGCCAGAGAAGACACCCAGCCGAACTGACTGTTGAGCAGGTCCAGGATGAAGGAGGTGTTTAACATCTTATCCTCAAACCTCTTCAGGAGGCTGTTGTACTGCTGAGTAAATCGCTCAACCATGGCCAACGCCTCCTCCAGCTCTTCCTTCAGCGGGCCCTCCAGAGGTTTCTTCCCGGAGCAGTCTGTGAAGGAAACAGGGAACAGGCAAACAGCATCATCATGAAGCTCGAGGAAAGTTAGAAGAATCACTGAGATTAGAGTCACTGCATGATTCTTTACATTGTTTGGCATTTTGATCCCAGATTATATCTGACCAAAGACTTTTACTGAGGCGTATATAAAGCACTTGAATTATTGTAATAATTAAGTATAAAATGACAATGTGACAATAAATAACTCTCCCCACTCTCAAAGCGTTGTTTTCGGTTGCAGCTGTTTTTAGTTAAAAGGCTTTAAAAACCGACTCGGCACGTAACGACAGACAAAGTAAGCGACTCGCTGGTGAACACAGTGCAGCATTTAGCAGCTAGAGAGCCAGAAATTTTCCTCAGAAGTTGGTGGAGACCAAAAACGGAGCCGAAATAGAGTGAATATTAGCTAAATGAATAATGTTGCTCCACAACTGCTGGATGTGTATATAAGAAACTGCAGTTATCGTATGACTTTTATTCTAAAATAACAAATGTTGTAACAACATATTTTGGTTTAAAAGGGTATCGATGGGCATCAGTATACAGGGTTTCTGACAACATTTTGCAATGTCGAGGAAAAAGAAACCCTGAGACTGAGAGGACGCAGAGGAGAAACAAGGTGTTCGAGCTGCATAATAAAATCTAAAGATAGATTTTAGGCTGCAGTGTTTATACCAACTAGCTGCAAGCATCCCTCTGAAGGTGAAATCAATATTTTGTCTCAATGTCTCAAATGTAGATGATGCATTTTTAGTTCATGGCAGAGGAACAAAAGCACCATCAACACAAAGGAATAGATTACATAATTAAATGACACTCTCCCAGCATCCGCTGCCATCCTTTTATAAGCCCTTCCTGTTTCCAACATTAACATAAATCCTAATTGTGTTGCTCTATTAAAAACATCTTTGGATCATCATTCAGCTCCTGCTGGTTTCCTGCAGGAGGAAGCCGCATGAAAGGACACAGCCAGACCTCACGGCACCCACTCAACCTTTTCAACAGTTATTATTAGTTGTTTTATGACATCTTACATAATTTGTTTAATTATCAAAGACGTTATTCATTTTATTTTATATAGATATATATATAAAACAACATGAAAGAGAGAGTCATCTTACCAATGTGCTGGATCTCTCTGCATTTCTGACACTCGTCACGGAACTTGAGGCAGCCGGCTGAGTTGCGGCGAATCTCCCTGCAGGTCATCCTGCCGTTGCCAAAAGGTTTGGTGATGACCACGTCCTCGTTGACGCTGCCGTCTATAGCCAGACCAGACCAGACACAAAGACACAGTTTGTTATTTCAATCCACAACTTAGTGTCCACTCATTTCAAATCTTGAACTCAAATGTTCTAATCAGAGCCTGGTGCAGATGAGGGAAACTTTATAAAACTGTTGTTAATATTCTCTAAACATTAGAACCAGATATACAGTTAGAATTGTGCAACACAAAAGGGTTCCCAACCTTTTCCCTTAAGGAACCCCTGTTTTACCATTGAGTGCCACGCCCTTATCCTCCGCAGATGGAAGGCTGTTACTTATAAAACTTTATACTATAATAATTTTTTGAGACCACTATGTTGGGAGAAGATCTGCAGGTCAGTCTTCAGGGTCAAAATGGTCACATGACTGGGAATATGCTTGCATGTAAACAGAATAACATTTACACTTCATTCAAAAGGTATATATACAATATGTATTTGTCCATCATATCATTTGTTGTTGCATTTCAACTTCAATGGGAGAGATTTTCCAGACAGTTCGCCTTGTCACGTGAGATAATGTTGCATCTGCTGTTTGGAAATAGGTTGTTTTGGCCTTTTTTAAACTCTTTTTGTTTTTTCCGTTGCTTTAATTGCTGATAAGGTAAATGCTGTGTGTGTGTTATTTCATCTACTTACTTTGTTTTTACCCAAATGAGGCTGAAATGTGCAGTTTTATCACAATAAACAGACAAAGGACAAAAGACAACAAAAAGTAAACAGAGCATCTATAGTTGTGATTTCAAGAGAATATGTGAGAAAATGTACCCTCATTAGGAGCTGTGTCTGTGTCGTCCATCATGGAGCCCATTGAGCTGAAGAAGTTCCTGGTCACATCCGTCATGGGAGAGAACAAATTCTGGAAGCTGTGGAAAGGATCCCGGAATAGAGAGCGAATGCTTCTGCTCCGGCGAGTGTACGGTCCCAGGAAATTGGGGAGGAAGAACACAGGAGGGCTGTAGTGCACATGATCAGCCACCTGAGAAACACCAAGAACAAAGAGACAGAGCTGATGATGTTGTACTGTTTTGACTCATACAAATACTTTCACTTAAAAAGGCATGTTTTTCTTCTTGTTCCTACAGTTGGATGTTTGAGCTTTACTGAGTTTGACGCTAGAAGAATGTTTTCACATTTAACTGTTGAAAGTGGAAAGTTTCTCTGTGCTCATTGAAAATCTCTAGGTCTAACTCAGTCAAGTTTTACTTTATAAATAAAGCTTGATATAGAGATGCTTTATAAAGTTATTATTAATATTATTATCAGCTGTCTTTTTTTTCTCTTTTACTTCTAATTCTGTTCAATCTTGTTGCTGCTTGAATAACTCATATTACTTATAGGACCTGTTTAAGTGATCTCAGAGTAAATGAGATGATACGATCGTGTCTACCAAAACATGTCTGTTTTCTCAGTGTATTCCCTTAATGTTGAAGTTACATATTGTCTAGAGAATGAAGTCATTGCATAGTCTTAGCAGATATATATGTATACAAGCAAACTGTGGTAGGTCAACAGTACCTTCATGCTGTCTGAAAATATGCTGTCCACACCATCGGCCATCTCTGTGTATCTTTCCTCCAGGTTCTTGAATTCTTTGCTCTGTCGTTGTCCCTCCTGCTCCAGGGTTTCTATTTTCTCCCCGTTGATCCATATGGAGAAGGGGGATGTTCTGTTCAGCACATCCTCCAGCTGCAGATAAAAGGAGAATTTCTGATTTCAAATCTCAAACATCTATACTTTTTATCTTATCGGGAGAGTGAAGAAGAGAGTGTTGCAGTGTGTTTAATTTTGTGGTTCTGGTAAGAATATGAGTGCTGATATTGATCTTTGTACATTGTCATTGAAATTCCAAAGTATTTTTTTGTATTTTGTGCTCATTAAGAGAAGCCATTTTTACACACTTTTATTTGGATCCAAAGATTGTAACTAATTAATATAAGTATTATCAGGAAAATGTATTTAAAGTAGTAAAAGTACAGAAAACTTTGACTGTTATACAACTATATATTATATAATTAGATTATTAGTAGTCATGCATTAATTTAAAAACAGCATTTTACTGTTTTACTAGTTGGCTGAGGCGGAGCTAATTTAAAGCTATTTTCTAGGACTGCAACTAATGATTATTTTCATTATGGATTAATTTGCTGATTATTTTCTCCAGTAATAAATTTGATTGTTTGGTTTGTAAAATCACAATGCATGTTTTGTCTATCCAATAGTACAAACCTTAACATTATTAAAAGGAAAAGCGGCAAATTCTCAAATTTGAGAAGCTGAAAGCATGAAATGTTTTTGCTGGATTAATGAATAAAAAACTTTTTTTTTTAAATATTCTTTCAGCTGTACTTGTACATTTTCAGATGTTTTGTGTGCAATGAATTAATTTGCAAAATAACTACTAACTGCAGGTGTCAGATAATTATAGTGAAGTAAAAAGTATAATTATTTGAACTGTAATGAAGTATGAAAATAAAATACTCAATTAAAGTACCTCAATAAGTAAATAAGTACTTAGTTACATTACACCATGGATCATATTTAATGTGTTTGTGGAGGCTTGTGTTAAAAGAAAAGTTGCATTACAGTCACTTAACAACAATAAGAACCAGCACTATTGATTGATTCTCAAAGCAACATGTAATCAATGAAACTGCATTATATCCATTATATTACTATACATATATATTTTATTAACTATATATGTATGAGTACATGTGTGTACATGTGATGGTCTGACCTGGCGTCCCACCAGTCCAGATCCACTGCTGCATGTTCGGGAGTAGTATTTAACGCAGGTGTTCTTCAGACACGGCTTACACTCCTCCCACAGAGTCTTCATGGTCTCGTTGCAGACCTCCTCCTCTTGCTCCAGCTTGGCCTCCATCTCCTGAGCCGTACGCATCGCTTCCTGAAGTGACACAGGCACTTAGATGTCAACAGGGAAGCTGTTATTCTGGTGGGTTCCTCAGAACTTTAGTGTATAGTATATGTATGTATAGTGCGAGTTATTATCGTCGTATCATGTTTCCTTCAGGATCAAATGTCAGTAAAACTGTGTTTTCTGTTGATTCCTATCAGATTCTGTCGGTTAGAACAAAATGACTGTAAGGTAATTAAATATATTTTGCTTTTATCTGTTTTACAATTGCCTTTTTGTTGTATATTGCCAAGAAAGTGGATCCTGGTGAAGACAACAATAATCTTTTTGAAAAACAACATTTTCTGCAATAAAATTCAAGGATTCAGTCCTTTTGTTGGGAAATGACATGAATCGCCCTGCAAGAAGATTGTCTCCCATTTTCTGATTCTGCTTCCTGTCCTGATACTTGTCAAGCTTTTGCTTGTTTTCAGATATTTTTCATTTTAATGAATAATAACAAATAAATTAAAGATACATAAAACATAAAATAACAGATAAAACGTGACTTTTACATGAATTTTTACTCTAATTTGCCAAGAAAGCATATGAACTCTGCTACACTCAATAAACAACTATATTGAGACAAAATTAGCCCATTTGTTTTCCAGTAGATCATATCTTAACACCTGTGTATGAAATAGGCATCGTTAATCAATGTATTATTAGGACATTCTATAATATAAAGAAACAGGCATCAGTACAGGTTTCTACCTCTTTCTGCTCCTTGGTCTTCTCCAGAGCATCCAAAAACTTCTTGTGGTCCTCTGAAGATTTCTGCATCACACTCTTCATCTCCTTCACTCCGTTAACAGCATTTTCAATCTGTTTATCCAGATACTTTACTCCCTGAAGGGAGATCTCTGTACAAAAGAGACATATAACATATTCACTGCAGGGGTGGATTCCTTCAACGGGATCCTGTATTTCTGCCCTCTTTGACCAAGCTGATTGTGTTTTATACAAAGTAAGTAAATATATGAGAGGTATTTTTGTATGTTTAAGTTTATTTAATGTAATATTATTATAATATTGCCCTTTTTTGTCTGCGCCACCGTGACACATCTCTTAATTCAGACGAGGTGAGTTGCTTTTAAAGGACCAGTTCACACACCTTTTTCCTAATTAATTATAAAATTATGACATTTAGCCATTAAGTTACTGTAACTTTGGTTTTATTTGTCCAGGCTTTTAGATATTTGTATCTAAAAAAATATCTATATATACAATGTAGGTAATTAGTATTTCACAGCATTAAAAATAGATTTAAATGTCCCAACAGCAGTTTGGTTTTGAAGAAACAATGTCTGTATAATCCACATACTTCACTTTGTACATTTCAGGGAAATATAATAAATTAATACAGAACGTGTTTGTTGTAATTTGGGTAACTGAGCCTTTATAGTTTTCTGACGCAGGTGCAGTGAAACTTACCGGTAAGATCCTCTTTGGATGGAGGAACGATGCAGTTGACTGAGGCCAGAAAAAGAGCCACCACAGCCAAAGACTTTGACCCCTTCTTCTTCATCATCATCATCATCATTAACATCCTCTCTGACTCTCACAGGGCCAGCAGGCAATGATGAGAAAAAAAAACCTGGGAAAAACAAAACAACAACCATCAGATGTAGACATACAGGTTGAGTCTAAACTCCTCCTGTGTTGTAATGTTGTTGTAGTGCGCCTCCACCTCCACCAGAGGGCGACATACGCTGTAGAGAAACCAGAGACCTACGCAGTAGAAAATGACAGCGCTTGCTCAGCAGTTTTCCACCCTTATGCAGCAAAGCATAAAAACAACCGCACAGATCAATACTGATAAATAATTCAAACCGATGCCCGCTGAATGAATCATCTGTCTCCAGTTTCATTCACAAAACCATTAGGACATAATTACCAAACTGACCTCAGATCAGTGTTTTTTACTGTGACTTTGACCAACTTTGTCTTTCAAAGTCATTTATATAAAGAGAACAGCAGGACCTTTGCTTGGTCAGCTGCCCATATATTAACTGCTTCAACAGAGAGTGACTGTAACGCCTGATGTTTCTTCTTCCCGACACACAAGATAAAGACAAAGGGAGAAAGTCATCGGACAGATGGACTGGCATTCTCTCCTCTCTGGGCAGCTTTTCCCAGGCAGTATAAATCTCTCCCTGTGATTTCTGCAGCCAGACATAATCCTCCCTTTTCTTCTAAATACACAACAGGACAATCTGAATGCATCAATCTTGCCATTGTCAAGCAAAGTAATGACATTATAAGCCGGTCAGCCGTGAAAAGGAGAACTGGGAAAGTGAATGGGTAATAATTAACATACATTATGCTCTATGCCAACCATATGGACACCTGAACATTACTTTGCTGCTGCCATCACCGCTGCAGGGATTTGTTCCAGTCACAAGAGCTTTAGTGAGGTCAGCCACCGATGTCGGTTTATAAAACCTGACTCACAGTCTAAGTTCCAGTTCAGGACAGTCAATATCTTCTGAAGAAACCTTTTCTTTATGAACCTCACTTTGGGGCACAAAGTGAGCGTACAATAACTGATTTTGTGGCCACTTGGGGGCAGCAGGTACAAGCTACAAATACAACACTGTATTTGAATGTATCAAGATTGAGTTGATATGGTGATCTTATAAAATAAACATGATCATTAAGTCGTGTTTCTGACCACCTGAGACAATACTCACCCTCCTTTTAGGTCTCCTGTTTTTGGTGTCCACCAACTCCAGAGGGACATATCTGGTTCTCTAGCTGCTAAAGGCTCCACTATGTTCACCAGCTAACTGCTAACAATTGAACCAATGCTGATGAGAGTTTTGAGTCTGAACCAAAACAGTAAACTTGCAAGCTGGAAAACAAAAACAATGAACTGAAAGACTCTAATACACTCAGGTGATAATTCTCTTTCAGGTCATCACTGAGTGACATCTTTCACATTAAACGTAGTTATTAAATCCACTATTAATATACCAGTATTGATTATAGCTGCTTTAAGTACATGTGGACAGGATGGTCATTTAGTGTAGGTTAGGGTAAAGGTAAATAAAAAGGTATTGAAAGTGTTACATGTAATCTATGTTTTAAAAAGTGTTAAACATAAAAATGTTAAACCAAATAAGTCTTATGTAACTTGTTTTTTCAGATTTGAAAGCATTTGTTCATCCCTGGCTCGCCCACCATCTTCTGTTCCTATGGAAACAAGAAAAGTACAGTATGCACAGCATGATGTTTTTGCATCATATTTGGTATAAAGCTGTCCAATCAACACAAAGGGATTAAGATATACCTTTTACATTAACCTATCTTGTTATTGTTACTAAATAATATTGTTATTTGACCTCTTAACATACAATTTCTCCACTTTTTTGCCGTCAAAATGCAGCCTGACATATTTGGTATCTTTGCAAACTGTCGGATCCCTACTAGAATTTAACATTGTGGATTTGAACAATGTGTTTTTATCACCTTTGAGATAAAGCTATAGCAACTATTATTCAGCACTGTTCATGCCAAAGAGTGTTGCACTCATCATATCACAGATAAATTCAATGTACTGATGGCATAACCGGTCCTAACCTCTTTCTCTCGCATTCTTTTAGTCTGCAGTGAAAAACGAGAAGAAAAAAAATGTCCCCAACTGTTTTAAAACCCAGCAGGACTGGACACCCACCTGGGGGTTAAAAAAATGTCCCACTTTCTGCTCTATATGAGCTCACGTGTTCATGAGTCCAACACGTACAGTGCAGCAAACTGCAGCCGCTTAAACAATGCGGTCATTATTCATGTGACAATAAACCTCTTGCTTAATTACAGCATGCCAGTTACTGGAAGGTAAACAGGGACTGACTGCTGATGAGAAGAAAAAAAAACAGAATGAGTAAGTCTTGACGTGCAGAGAGGAAAGAATGAGCAAGAGAGCAATGAGACGAGAGACAAAAACAGTCAAAGACAGAGAGAGAAAAGAGAGACAGGAAGAAAGTTAAACACATAAAAAGGAAAAGAAGGAGAGAAAAATAATTTACAATGCGGAGGTTGAGCTATGTTATTTGCTGAATAACAGCTGCGTGGATCCTGGTTACACAACTGAAAAAATGCAAACCAGTCGACCGTCCTCCAATCCAGATGTTGCCTGCGAGGCCTGCGAGAAAGTTTCAGCTTCATGAAGTGAAACACAAGTATCAATACAATTAGTCCACTAAGCTACACAGTTTTTAATAGGCAAACACATCTGCGTCACACTCTGTGTTTGAGTATTTTCTTTGAGTCCGTATCTGAAACTGCTTTATTTTACAGTGCATATGACATTTATCACTTGATAAGAATCACTATAATGCATATATTATATTCTATATCATGATATGTTCTTCCATTTCTATACAGAATATATTTTATAGTGTGTAGTTAATCTTTTATTCTGTTTTATGTATCTCTTTTTTTTACCATCCTCTTCCTCCAACCTCTTATTTTCATAAAAATCCACTATAAACACTATGAAAGCTGCATCAGATACATGACATAGACCTAACAATTAATCGATTAATTGTGACAACAACTGGCAGATTACTTGATAACGAAAATAATTTGTTAGTTGCAACCCTACTTTAACATATTATTATGCATGCTGTATTTTTTATTCATACTTATAACTATATACGTCACACATCATTGTTGCTGGGGTTGCATTGCTGTATTTCTTCGTACACATTAATGTATTAATGTATATTGTATTGTATTAAATCTTCCTTTAAATGGTTCTTTATCTGTTTTCTTACCTCTTAGCCGAAATTTGTGCTCCTGTAATATATGAATTTCCCTCGGGGGATCAGTAAAATCTTATCCAGTCTGAAATATCTGTTGAAATAACATTTATACATCAGCTACTAACTAGTTACTGCTCCTGCTTACATTTATCTCCACTGTTGATTAAATTCTCCCTCTAATTCTGTCTCATTCTCTCTGTTAGAAGCTCAAACCTGCACAAACGACTTTCCCAAAGCCAGAATAAGAAGGAACAATTAACTCATCTGGATCAAGTGGGATCCATTTACAACAAATGGGACACTGGCACATGTGGCCTCATGTTGGCCTCATTTTAAGTGTTTGGGGATTTCTGCACCCAAAGGATTCACTTGTCACATTAGGGTCAATTCTAAACTAGAAAAAGTACCCCAAAAAAATCATCATAAAATATTGCATTTGCTGTTTAACTGCCAGGATTTACTGCATTCGCCCTCTTTTCCTCAACAGCTCAACCTCAAATAGCATTTTTATTCTGCTGTTTTGCTGTTAGTATTACTGTTGGGTGTGTCTGAGCCTAAAAGTGTATTAAAGTGAACCAACCACACTATGATGTCATCTACACTAATCCAGTTGTTTTGATCCAAAGATGGAGGTCACACCCATGAGTAAGCAATGCAAACAGCAGTCACCTAGTCAGCCATGAAGTCAGCATTTCTGCATGAAGAAAAACAACTCAAGAGGCCAAAATTACTAAAAGACACATCATACATCATACAGGTGAATTCAAGTTTCATGACATTTCATAAGCTTTCAAAAAAACGCAGCTCATATGTTGCACTCTCTTCTGCTTCATCTTAATAACACTGTTATCACAGGTTGCATATAAAGACAACACTGTCCTCTGAGCATCCCCCAGCTGCAGTCTCTCTCAATAAAAAAATAAAAGCTCCTCTGACTCACCTCTGTTTGTTTCCTGAGACTCCAGACCGTCTGAAGCTGCCTTCAGTCTCTCTGCTGCTCCTATTTATACCAGCGGATAACGGGGACGGTGCAGACATGTGATTCACTGACCGAACAGGCTACTGTTACAAGCTGCCATAATGCAAAAGCCCACTTCCGGTGTAAGTTTCAAAATAAATCGGTTTTATTCAAAGATTAGACTAAACAAACTGCCATTTGGGCAAACTATAACTGTGTTTTCTTATTTATAGAATATAAAAACCTGAAGTGGGATGTAAACTTGTAAAGTTATAAAATGATTAGTTAAACATTTTCTTTGTTTATCTGCTGGTTAGCTTAGCTTTGCATAAAGACTGGAAACAGAGAGAAACAGCTAGCATAGCTCTCTTCAAAGTAACTAAATCACCCAACATCCATAAAGTTCACTAAATCAGTGTATTTTATTATATCTTCTGTGTTTAATATGTACAAAAAACGAGACATACAGCTAAAAAACATGGAGGTAGGCAGGTAAAAATGAACAGAGCTATGTATAGACATACATGGTGGTGAAAAAATAGGTGCAGACAAGGTTATGTATGTATATATATGTATAAAGTAACAATGACCAACAACAAGTCAAATGTTTCTGTAAACTGTAAACAATACAAACGGTACAAAGAAATAAACACTGAAAGGATTTGCATGTAGCCTGGATATATACAAGTCTATACACACAGTCAATATAGAACATGAAGAGTTAATATTGACAATAATGGATTGTATGTAGGCTACATTAAAAACAGTATGTAAATATATATTGTGAATATATAGTGGTGGACTGGGTTATTGACACTGTATGACTGATATTAACTGCTCATTGATGGCTTGTAGGAAGACATTGTTCTTTTGTCTGGTTGTTTGTGCTCTGCAGCGTCTAGAGGGAGAGGTTGGAACAGGGTGTGATGGGTCTCCAGTGATGAATTAAAAAAAGACTACATATGCCTTTATATCCTGTAATGTCAGTGCCAGTTTCAGTCAATAGTAGGCTATGATTTATACATTAATGTCTATATATTTGCTCATAGATTTAGATTTGTTTGTCATGAGAAAACTAAACTATATGTTTTATTTTGATTGCTTTACTCAATATAGATCCAGTAATTTCACTATGATGACTTGAGTTTTTACCCCTCATGAAGTTGCTCCCTTTGAGCTTTTATTTTGAAATCTGAAGGCGTTTTCCGGTCCCTATGGTGTGAACTCCTTTGGACTTGACGCTGGTGGGCCTGAGGACTTTTCCAGAAGTTTAGTAATTTATTGGCAGCAGCACTCAGAGCTGCTGAGCAGAAAGACAAACATTTGATTCATCCTGAGCGTGACTCAACATTTAATAATTTCACTTTCGCGTGTCTTTATCAGCCTAAAACCAAACCACATTATATGAGGATGAGAGGAGAGACAAAAGAAATGTGTATTCTAGGCTAATAAAATAGAACATGATTCACAAAACTCACAGGTCCTACATTGAAATTCAAAACAGCATTTAATAATTCCTCTGTTTATGACAAAGTGTGTATATGTGTGTGCATATGTGTTTGTGAATGTTTTTTTTTAAACAATTAATAATCCAAACTGGATTCCGAAAACAAATCCAAATCCAAACACTATTAAATTAATTTCAGTTATTTAACTCATCCATCTTGCAACTTAATAATACTTTCAGGTATTTTTGAATCTCCTATATTACTATATGTGTTATTGAATTTAGCCTAGTTAACAGCTGGGTTTCAGTATTTATATATTTTTTAAAAAAGATATTAGGAGGACCCAAACCATTTTCACTGGAGACATTTTGCCATAGCAGTGAAAGCACATGTGTAAATAATTATATTAACGAAGGCTATGTGTCCCAGTAAGCCAAAGACAACAAGCCATGCAGAACACCACCTAAATGCATCTTTAATGTGCTTTAACAGGTCAACATTGTGTTTGTTTATTTAGTGAAACTACAGAACAGTGTGAACAGAAGGGTGTGGGAGTCATAATGTACTTTTATTAACTTTCTTTTTTTAAATGCTTCAGTGAAACAAAACCAAGACACAAAACTAGACTGTGAGTCAGTGTGATTTTATGAAGGCTCACTGTATATATCCAAATTTGGTAGTTGTGAACCGGTGGGATTATCTGGAAAAAAACACAATGATAAAAAAACAGAGCTGGTTTTCATGAAAAGTGGACATTTTGGAGATACAGCTCAGAGGTCACTGGTGTCAGACCTTTAGACTGAACAACCAGCACTAACATGTACTGTAACTTTCCATAAGTGTTTGGAGGCCTTTGAGACTTTAAAACAGCAAGAGGTGGAGCACAAATTGGTTAAAACATGGACATACACACACAAAAACACACACAAGGGGTTGTGTAGTAATAAAAAAAAAACTGACTCACTCACCCGTCAAATGAAGTATAACTAATATCTTTAAACAAAACAGGAATCCTTCAATCCTCAGAAACAACAGGGACTGTCATCTCAAGGGAGGGATGTTCCAGTAAATCACACACACACACACACACACACACACACACACACACACACACACACACACACACACACACACACACACACACACACACACACACACACACACACACACAGATGCCTTAGTTCTGTGTCAGCAGCAGTTGTTCCTCTGCAGAGTTGTGACTTGCTGTTTCATGGTTCAACAGTAGATGTTTGCACTGTATCCATATTAAAATGTCTGACATTTGTTGTTATATGACACTTCGATAGAGACTCTGGTGTCTCTATTAAATGCTATAACCTCATTGAATTAAGACTAATGCAGCACTTCTACATACAACTGTAGAACAATAAAATACAAACAAACTAGATGTTTTTAAGTAATGATCAATTAGTCCAGGTATCATTAAGGGAAGCATCAGTAATTCCAGTCACAGCAGCTCTTCTCATAAGCTGCAGGCGGTTTAAGAAGCAGAGAGTCGAGCATCCCAAATATGCTCTCCAGGGCAGATAAAAGTGGAACTGATCATACAAATATTTGGTTGGACAGTATCTTCTGAGGATCTCTTTCACAGGGAATAAAGGAACCCAGTCTATGAATCAAGCTGCTGTCTTCTCCTTTGCTGTCTGCAGCTGAAACATGTCCACACCAGAGTTATTCTAACTTTGTATTTTTACATTTTTATTTTGTTTAAGTTTAGTTTTTACTAGTTTCAACATTAGTTTTAGTTTTCTTTTATTATAATATGGGGACTATTTGACCAACCCTGGACAGAGAGTGAAACTAAAGACATTTCCTTTGTATTTTTATTTTATTTTAGTTAGTTTTCTAAGTACACAATATTTTTTCAGTTAACTAAAATGTTTTTTTTTTCAGTTTTAGTTTTTAGCTTAGTTCTAGTTTAACTTTAACAATCTTGGTCCACACAATCCTTCACAAAGTTTATTCCATGAAAGCAAAATTCTCATAGTTTCACTAGAAACTAAGGTTTCTATTATTCTGAGCTTGTTAGAAGATATTTTTTGAGGGATCTGTCTGTCTTGTCCTTCAGTGTAAAAGGCCAAATGTGACACTAGATGGCAGGAACTCCATTCTTATTCAGTAAAGTCGCCTCCCTGGAGCTCCAAACACTGAACACACAGAATTTGGGTATTTTCCATTGTTAACTTCGCCTTGGATATGTCTCTTCCTACCTAGTACTTATAAACATGTTCTTGATGATTAAGTCCAAATATAAATAATCTAAAGTGCTTTGAGACAAACACTTAGTTTTTCTGAGTTTGGCTACAGCAGATGTCTATCTGACAGTGCTGCTAAATTTAAGGAGGAGATTCCATCAGTGTTTAATTCAATGCCATGTCTGAATATAAAAGAGTCCTATAACAACTTTAAACCCTCTGAAATTGATAATCTTGTTAATAATGCTGCAGGCTCACTATGATCAACATTAGACTCTATCGCTCCTATAAAAAGGAAAATATTAAAACATAGGAAACTAGCACTGTGGTACAACCGCCAAACCCGCCAATTGAAGCAAACTCTGGCAGCGGACAGCATGAAACCAAACAAATTAAGACGGCACCTGGAGACCTTACACCCCAGTTATGTCAATAAGCCACTGGACTTTTTTCATCGAAAGCTCGATGAGTATCGCCAACAGGCCGGTCATTTAGTGAGCGCGGCATCAGTAAATAAAAACGCACCGTTAGCCTCGTACAAACACCGCCACATCGCAAGGTGCAAAAACCATCACACAATAGCACAGGAGCTAATACTCCAGCAGCATTGGACATGGTCACAATCATAGGTGAGGAAAGTGCTGAGACACTGAATACTGTCCCTATCTCCAATGACACGATCGGGAGACGTATATTTGACATTTCAGATGACCTCCAAGAACAACTCACAGAACATCTAACAGACAAATGTTAAATATAAACAATATTGTTGCAAATTTTGCACAAAAAAAAAAAACAAATGTTAAAAAGTCATATACCTTTTTGAAAAGGAATAAGCTGATGAAGCTGACAAGTGACCAATGTTTACAGTTAAAAAAAGTTTTGAATGTTACTGTGTTAAGTCTTGTTTAAATGTTACAAATTGAGTTAATAAACTGAACTTGGAAATTGTTTTTAGTTGTTGCAGATGTTATCTCAGCTCATTTTATTAATCCATTTTGATAATCAGATGATTGTATGCAGAATGCTGGTGCTAGCAACTCATACAGTGGTTTGTACAGACAAATAAATAAATATTATCAGCTTCTCAATAGTATTAAAATTCAGGGGGCGTGAAAAAATGTCTGTCCTCTAGGGGGGGCATGACAGAAAATAATTGAGAACCACTGCATTAATGCATGTTAATAACTTCATTCTTCCCCGGAGTTCTTGTGCTCTCTCGTCTCGCAGGTTCTCGTGGATCCTGGTGGAGCCTCCTACAATGGTCCTGCTTGACTGCCATTGCTAATATCACCGATATTATTGTTATTATTATTAATATCATTATTACTACAGTTACTATTATTACTATTATCACTGCTCATTGTCCCCCATCGTTGCTGTTGTCGTTGTTC